TTCAGCAGGGTCTGAGTCTCCAAAGGCAGCATCTGAGGCTGATGCTCAAACCGAAACAAACAAAATCAATGTGGCCAGTAAGGAGACTGAGACTGAATTATCTGTGCTGGATGAGATTTTATCATCTGCCAAAACAGGAATGTTGTCACAAGAGGAAGTCACCCACAGCCGTGACAAGCAGAAACAGAAAGAAGTAAGATTTTGGCATTGGCATTCTGAGGTTTTCTCTCTGTTCTCTCCAGCATGATTTAACGTGTGTTCTCCTGGTAGGGCTGGGCCATTACTGGAGACAATGAAGGCATTGCAGACCGGTTCTATGAGCTTGTTCCTGACATGGCAATGGAATTTCCTTTTGAATTGGACAGGTTTCAGAAGGAGGTACTTTCATTGATTGTTGAAAATTTGCTGATGTTTGAATCTGATGGATGGATGTCTTCATATGTTACTCTTTATTAGATAATTCAGTGTGTTATGCTTACAGGCTATATACTATCTAGAAAAGGGGGAGTCTGTTTTCGTAGCAGCTCATACATCGGCTGGAAAGACAGTTGTTGCAGAATATGCATTTGCTTTGGCAACCAAGGTAGAGACACAGACTTCCATTTCATTTGTTATATTTTTAGCTTCTTTGATCTTTTGGCTTACTTTTTTTCCCATTCTGTCCAGCACTGTACCAGAGCTGTTTATACTGCTCCCATTAAAACCATCAGCAACCAAAAATATAGGGATTTTTGTGGGAAGTTTGATGTAGGGCTTCTCACAGGTGATGTCAGCATAAGGCCAGAGGCATCCTGTCTCATCATGACGACTGAAATATTAAGGTCAATGCTTTATCGTGGTGCTGATATTATACGTGATATAGAATGGGTAAAATATCTTTTCTGATGATTTACTTCTGGTTTGGTTTGTGCTTGAATTGCTTATCATGTGAATTGTTAGTCATGTTTCTTTGTTGCTGTTCCTTTGACCGGCAGGTTATATTTGATGAAGTACACTATGTCAACGACGTAGAGAGAGGGGTTGTCTGGGAAGAAGTCATCATCATGCTTCCAAGGCACATAAATTTTGTCCTCCTTTCTGCAACGGTACTTTATATGCTATTTTGATATTTTCTAGTGGATTCTCTTATAAGAGCATAATTTGAAAGAAATTCTTGATTTATGTTTTTAAATGATTTCCATTTACGTGATCGGGCTCCTAATGAACCTAACCTCTTCAGAATTTAAGTTTTTAACATTCATGGAGATCTATCGTTTCATGAACTCAATCATTATTTTTTTTTCTTCATGTGTGTTCCAACTTTATGTTCTCATGTCTGTTTGTTGTATAATTGTAACATATGTCACTAAATATAGGTGCCCAACACAGTTGAATTTGCTGATTGGATCGGGCGAACAAAACAGAAAGAGATACGTGTTACTGGGTGAGTGTTAAATGTATCCTGGTAAAATAATTGCAGGGAAAGTTCATGTAGCCGAGATTGACATTTTCTTTAATGGGTATGTTTCTTTGTCAGAACGACAAAAAGACCAGTTCCACTTGAGCATTGCCTATTTTATTCCGGAGAACTGTACAAAGTGTGCGAAAACGAAATGTTTATTCCTAGAGGAGTAAAAGATGCTAAAGACACACACAAGAAAAAGAATTCAAGTTCAGTTACTGCGGGTCCAAAACCACTAACAGGCTCATCAGGACATCAAGATGGAAACCGGTCTCAGAAACATGAAAATCATTCTCGTGGCAAGCAGAATAAACATTCAAGTTCAAAACATTTGGGAAACAGTTCCGGGACATGGCAATATGATGGCAGTCAGAAGAATGGGAATCTTAGAAGATCAGCAACTTCAAATTGGTTGTTGCTTATCAACAAGCTCTCAAAAAAGTCACTATTACCTGTATGTTTTATATCACCTACAATTGTTCCTTCTTTTTGCCAATTTTTTTCCACATCAGTCTCTTGTAGTCTGTGCTTATGTCTAACATGTTTACTTCTCCTTTTGCTAGGTGGTTGTCTTCTGCTTCTCAAAGAATTATTGCGACAAATGTGCTGACACTTTGATTGGTACTGATCTCACTAGTAGTTCTGAGAAAAGTGAAATCCGGGTCTTTTGTGATAAAGCTTTTTCAAGATTGAAGGGATCTGATCGGAATTTACCTCAGGTTGGTTGTCCTAACATTTTGCTGAGTATTATTATATATTAATTCTTAAAGCTTCCTTGAATTTCACACTCATCAACCGTGGATGACACACGATAAAGGTTCTCAGAGTCCAGAGTCTTCTCCGTAGAGGAATCGGTGTTCATCATGCTGGGCTACTTCCAATAGTAAAGGAAGTTGTTGAAATGCTTTTCTGCCGTGGTGTGATTAAGGTAGGTTTCTTAATATCAGAGGCATGCAATGCGACCCCTAACATCAGTAAAGTGGTGCTAGAGTTGATTTTTCAGTTATGCTTCCCGTAGCTCTGCCTGCTATTTTGCGAATCTCTCAAGAATGCTATTTAGTCATTCTTGTTTATAATCTTGTTTCAGGTGCTATTTTCAACAGAGACATTTGCAATGGGAGTTAATGCTCCGGCTAGAACGGTAATCCTATTTTCACTTTTTGTTCAAATGAACCCAGTGTTACGGTATTATTTACACCATAGGTGCGGATGAACATACTTTGTATCTCATTTCTCTCTACAAAATTTGTCTATAGGTTTTACATCCTATGATATTCTCTACACTACAGGTCGTTTTTGATGCTCTGAGGAAGTTTGACGGCAAGGAATTCAGACAGTTGCTTCCTGGAGAGTACACTCAGATGGCAGGGCGCGCTGGCAGAAGAGGACTTGATAAAATTGGGACAGTGATCATCATGTGCCGCGATGAGATTCCTGATGAGAGTGATCTGAGGCGTACAATTGTAGGAAGCGCAACAAGACTTGAATCTCAATTCCGACTAACCTACATAATGATCCTCCATCTCCTGCGCGTTGAAGAGTTGAAGGTATCTTGGTGTCTGAACTTTTAAGTCGTGATGATCTAATAGTTAGAAACCTACAATTGCATTGACTTCGGCAATGCATTAAGTTTGTCTAGAAGCTTTTTTCATGCTTCCCCCTTTTGACTCGCATGTTAACAAATGGTTGTTACAATTAGGTGGAGGACATGTTGAAAAGAAGCTTTGCTGAATTCCACTCTCAGAAGAAACTTCCCGAAAAGCAACAGCTTCTCATGCTAAAACGTGCCCAGCCAATCAAAACGGTCGAGTAAGGCCTAATCCCGAACTCACAAGTTCTCATTTGAAGACTGCCATTTGTTCTGCGTTCTCTTGGCAATATCTCTTTTGTCAACTTCTCCAGATGATTTTAGAGATGAACTTTTTTTTTGTTCCTGTACATCCAGATGCATCAAAGGTGAACCAGCAATTGAAGAGTACTATGAGATGTATTCTGAAGCAGAAGAATATAACAGCAAAATATCGGAAGCAGTAATGCAGTCGCCTCATGCTCAACAGTTTCTTAATCCTGGACGTGTCGTAGTCGTGAAATCAGAAAAGGTGAGCCCGGACACTCTCCTTTTTCTTCGCCGTGTCACATATTGATTGCTGATTTTCTATGCTTACAACTGACAGGGCATAGACAATTTACTGGGAGTCGTTTTGAAAGGACCTTCAAGCACTAACAGGCAATACATTGTTTTAGTGATCAAACCTGAAATACTGTCACGAGAGCAATCCTTGGTCAGCGGTGACAAGAAAAGTTCCGAACTCTCTCAAGGTTACTTTATGGCACCTAAATCGAAACGTGGTCTTGAAGATGAGTACTACTCTATGGTGACGTCTCGGAAAGGTTCAGGTGCAATCAAGATTGATCTCCCATACCATGGAAACGCTGTTGGGGTAGGGTACGAGGTTAGAGGATTTGATAATAAAGAGTTCTTATGCATATGCCATAGCAAGATAAAGATTGATCAGGTCCGTCTACTTGAGGATGGAAGCAAGACAGCTTTTTCTCAGACGGTCCAACAGCTTCTTGATCTGAAATCAGATGGAAACAAGTATCCTCCTGCCTTGGACCCAATTAAAGGCATGTTAAAGAGACAGATTAAGTATTGTTTTTTTCTTTTGTGAAAATTGGGTTTCCGTTATATGTTTGGTGAGGTTATATTTCAGATTTGAAGCTGAAAGATGCTGAGGTTGTTGAGATGTACTACAAATGGGCCAGCCTGTTGCAAAAGATGTCAATGAATAAGTGTCATGGTTGTGTCAAACTGGAAGAGCACATGAAGTTGGCCAGGGAGATTAAGAAGCACAAGGAGGATCTTAAAGTGCTTGAATTTGAAATGTCCGATGAAGCCCTTAAACAGATGCCTGATTTTCAGGGCCGGGTAAGCTAAATGAGAACATGTTTGGGTTTCGTCTGATGTACAATTCGGTGTGAAACTTACAAAATTTTCCTGCAGATTGATGTTCTGAAGACAATTGGGTGTATAGATGATGAACTTGTTGTCCAAATCAAAGGACGTGTAGCATGCGAGATGAATTCTGGGGAAGAACTGATTTGCACCGAGTTTTTGTTCGAGAATCAACTCGATGACTTGGAGCCGGAAGAAGCAGTGGCTATAATGTCTGCCTTTGTATTTCAGCAGAAGAACACATCCGCACCTTCCCTTACACCGAAGCTGGCCATGGCAAAGCAGAGGTTGGTAATCGATAACACTTTCAAATCCGTTGTTTCTCAGTAATATCGAGACGTGTAAGGAAAGTAACTTGGTTGTGTTAACACAGATTATACGAGACGGCAATAAGACTGGGTGAACTTCAGAACCATTACAACTTACAAATAGATCCAGAAGAATATGCACGGGAGAATCTCAAATTCGGTCTGGTGGAAGTTGTCTATGAGTGGGCAAAGGTTGGTCATAACTTCCTCGGCTTGTTTTGTTTTTGTTTTTTTTTTTGTTTGGATGGAAGAAATATATATATATATATGTATTGTTTTTTTTTTGTCTGTAGGGGACTGCGTTTGCAGAGATATGCGAGCTGAGTGATGTGCCAGAAGGACTGATAGTACGGACAATAGTGAGGTTGGATGAGACATGTAGAGAGTTCAAGAACGCGGCTGTGATAATGGGGAACTCCGCTCTCTACAAGAAAATGGAAACAGCCTCTAACTCCATCAAACGCGACATCGTCTTCGCTGCCAGCCTCTACATCACCGGTCTCTAGTTCTTCCCTCCTCTTAATGTAAAGTTTTAAATCTCACCATTTCATTATCATTTTCACCACCTTTCTCTACAAAGGTTTCTGTTGTAACCCTTGTAAACTCTGCCCGAATCATAGTGTTATTTATCCGCTAATGAATTCGATTTCGCCTTCTTTATTATCAATATAACCGAGATTGAAAAAAACAAAAACAAAAGGAAACGGAGGATCATTTAGGAAAATATGATCCCCAAATTGGTAGATGTGGAACAGAGATCTACTTTAGCAGCTAAAATAGACTTTTACATCTAACTCAAGAATCCTAACTCATAGGGGTATGACGTATATGCTTTTTCATACAAAATCAACATTGTTTAATCCCAAGTTTATTTAGGATCGCCCGAATGAATTCTTCGTTTTCATAATTAGCGCCAAAAAAAAAAAGTAAGGTTATGAGGTAGCATCAAACAAATACATGAGAGCAGTAATCAATCAGTCGTAGAATACATTGCTTGTAAACACCCTTTTCACCTGTCAACGTTGAAGGCCAAAGAAGTAGAAACGGCTTTCAGAGTTTGTTCTTAGATATGATCACAGATTATTACTCTACTAATTGACTATATAAAGAGAAGAATCTTTACCTGTTCCAGAGTGAGGAACATGACAACTATCCACGTCCCAAGTCTCGTGAAATTCGGTAGAAACCCTTTGTAGAATGCCGAAAATCCCTGTCATGGAATGTTCAAATTTTAGAAGCTCAAACTTTTACCCACACTGACACAAAGAATGGCGAAAAGGGTACCTCGTTCTTCAAAGTCTTGACGAAACAATCACCGGTGTTTCTGTAGGTAGGATCCCCCATCATTCTAGATTTCACCTGTCGAAACATAAGAACCATTGGGGGCGTCCAGGGCAAATACCCGACATTTAACTTCTCTCTTCCTCTGTAACAAAGTAATTTTTTTTTATCTTTCTAGAATCTATCTCTCCTTCGGTTTCGGTAGCATTATTATCAAATAATGCTGCATTTACCAAAGTCAAGTCGCAAAGCAGAGTCAGAAAAAGAGTGTAGACTACAAACACATAAGATGCCATATTAACCAGTGCCACTTATGACTACAAGGGTCATCCTTTTCTTTCAACTCTAGTCCAGGGCTATGTGCATTATGTTTCATGGGACATTGCTTTCTCCCTTAACTAATTCAACATATTCCAACAAATTTATGGTTTTAAATGAACCCATCTCATAGTAGATCCAATCTGTTCTTGTTTTATGTAAAAGAAAAGAATGAATGCTTACAACATCAATGGGAGAACCGATACAGACAGCAAAAAAGCCTGCAGCCACACCAGCTAGTAAATGAGTTTGAATGCTGTCGGTAAAGCCCGGGATTTTCAAAATTGTCTGCATGTGCAATGGATGTATCAGGACAATGTGAACCACTCAAAACAAATAATGCAACATCTCTTGAAAAAGAATATCACCTGTTTTATTTGGTCATAACTCGCTAGCTCGGCAGCATTTATAATAGCGTTGCGAGCTATATTGGGGCCAAGCCCGGTCCATAATGCACGGATTCCTTCCTGTTTTATCTCAAAACAAATAAAAAAGTGCTACTCTTTGTAACTATTATGTCTATGACATTGCTATATAAAGAAAACTAACCTGCCTCACTATAGTGAGATAAGCATCCACAGCCCCAGCATAACGCCTAGGCATCCCAGCCGTCAGTTTCCCCTCAGCTTGAAGGCGAACTTTGACAAGATCAGTTGGGTTAGCTACTATGATTGCAACAGCCCCTGTTGTATTGTAAAGATCCTCCATTGAACCATTAAATTTGACAAGAACGTTCCGAGGGATGATCATAAACAGAGATCAATGCACTACTCACCCGTAAACAAAGCTGCTAGAATCTTTTGATACAATGGAATGTCCCCGACAAAATCACTTCCAACCAGAAACATCTTGACCTGCCCATGATTCATCAGTTAAGTAGTTCTTGAAAAAAAAGAAGTGAAAAGAGCTCGGAAGAAGGAAACTAGATGAGACTCACGGGCTCATATAATCCGATCCTTAAGCCACCGTAAATACATTGGCGATGCAATCCTGCGATCATACCTCTCCAGAGTGCAGGAAAACCCTCTTCCCTCACTATGGTGGTCAGAGTTCCATATGAACCCCTGTACTTTGCCAAAATGGTGCCATCTCCTGTGGAGATTTTTCTTTGCAGCTGAAGTCTTACCTTGACAGTGTCCAAAGGCACGGTACATAGCTGCCAAACTCATAGCCAATATAACAACTGACTTAGAAACTGAAACATGCAAAAGGAGCAAAGACAGAACAACCCTGAAAGGGCAATAGTAACAACAACTCGTGAAGATTCAAGATTCAGACAGAGAAATGAAGTCAAATTTAGAAGGAACAAAAAATCGAAATTCCAATCACCACAAGGATTTTCTTATATTGGAACAAGATGGGAACTTGCCAACGAAAGAGAGAAAGTAAATAAGCAACAGATTCAAGCTAAGCTTTGCAGCATCAAACCAAGAACCTAATTCACCGAATGCCAGCGAGAAAACCGAAGAGGTTACTGATAAACCCTAAACCGAAGAGATTATTACTACACAATGAACCCAGATCAGTGAAATCCGGGAACTTCAAAACTCAATACTTCTCAACCTGCAATCCATAAAAATGCAAAGGGTAATCAACCGCAGCAGACATCATCGTCGTACACTCGGTACCTCTGCAAAACAAGCGGCGAAAGCGCTGCAGATGAATGTCTCCAGGAAAGAAATCTCGGTCCTGGGTTTAAGATCCGCCATTGTTGCTCCAGATGGCGACAGCTGTGACGATCGAAAAGCTAATCGAAATCTGGAAAGCAGCAATTGGGCAATGAACAGTATAAAACACACACACACACACCGATTTAAACGTGTGATTAACACGATTAAATCAAATGGGTCCTCGGAAAATAGAGTAGTTATGAAGGAAAGCGACGCCAATGGCGTAACCACTTCAGGAGGACGAGGTAGTGAGGTACTGAGCTGCGGCGATTCATCGTCGCCATTCCCGCAAGTACAATAAAAAGTTCCATTTTTTGGGAGTAACGATTAATTAACAAAGAAAATTATACTGAGAACGTCATTAACTGTGAATTAGTCGAAAAGATCCTAAACTAAATAATCTCTTCCTGTTCCAAAGGGCTGTTTCTACAGTGTAAACCTTCCATTTCGTAGAGAGGTGTTAAATTTACAATATACGGCTGTGATGGAAGGTGCATTGTAAGAATCATGTACTCGCATATACACAATTACGCCCTTCTCTGAGCGAGAAACAGGATTATATCCCATCAATTAGGTCCTCCCAGATTCAAGAGACATCGGTACATCATCATCATCGATATGATTCTATAGCAGGGCATCGATCATCGGATGCGTTGGTTCTTATTGAATTCTAGAGAGAATTCAGAAATGGAAAAGAGGGAACATACATACACATGTCTCTCATGCAACAACAAAAGCACTGGACGAACCAGTGAAATGGTGAATGGATCCGACAAGGATCTTTGAAGCTCCGAAATGGCTGATCCTATAAACACCAGGGGAGGCAGTCTCAGGGATTCTCCATTCGATAGTTGCAGAGCTTCTCGTGCTCAGTTTAGATGGCCTCGACCACTTGAATCGGAGACAGAAATCATCATCATCATATGTCGGAACCCATGTCTTCTTCGTTCCCCCATACCTCTCCACGAGCGCGAAAGTGCCCTCTGTCATCAGATCATTTCTAGGGCAAGACGACCAGAAACGAACCGTCACGAGATCGACTCCTCTCCTGAACGTGGTATTCCGAGGAACGTCGCATATGACGTCTCCAAACTTAGTGCCGGCCGGTGTCGTGTCCGCCATGGCAGGTGCGAGCAAGCTTATTTGATCGTCAAGCAGATCAGGAGGGAATGGGCCAGGTTCGGTAGCTCGGCCTGAGAAAAGGGCACCCGCCAGTTTCTTGAATTCTTGAATGTATGCACTTAGAGTGTGCGGACCATACAAGGTGGATGCACCCTGAGGAACAGAGCAAGGAATCTCTTTGTTCAGACCGGGAGATTGGTTTTCAGACAGGAAGAACCATCTTTAATGAATTACACGCATACACTGACCTCGTATCTCTGGATATGGTACTCCTCGAAGGTGGTGACATACTGCGAGTAAGTATTGCTCAGACCGGCTATCACCACGTGAATATCCTTGTGATCGGCTTTTCCTTTAAAGCTCTCCTTGTACACTCTTCTCACAGCTGCACGGAGACGCCTCCCTGCCATCGTTGTAAATTCTTTCCGAGCAGAGATTTGTAAATTCATATCAGATCATTATACCATCTTAGATTCAGTGAATGAAAAGGAGAACGGTGACAACATACCCCCGGGAACGCAGAGAATGATTAGCTGCCCTATGCGGATGATCTGAACCGGGAGTATTGAAGGCTGAAAAGTGATCAAGACACGGACTTTCATCGATGGGATCTTCGCCCCGGCTAATCTAATGGTATTGAGGTTCAAAGTATTAGGTTTTACTCACCGCCCATTCATACGGCTGAGTCATTTCGCCCGTATCGAGCAGTATTGGCTTCGGGTGGTGGCATTGAACCTGTTCCCGAGTCGGGGTTTTAAGCAAGTCCCTCACAAGTCTCCAGAAAGCATTTCCCTAATAACAAACTCCATGAATTCAAGAGAGTGTGATGAAATTCCTAATTCTAGATCAATCTTCTTTACTTGAGCTTGACCTTGTCATCTCCTTGTCTGAAATCGAATGCTCCAGGCCCATCAGTTGTTCCTGCAGCAAAGCCGAAACCCATTGCAGCAGGACATGTCTTCACTACCTCAGATCCTCTATCCTGTCTATGAATTGTCACCTTCAGCTGAGAAAAATCTACAAAAGAATGGCGATAGTCCACTTTTCCTTTCAGCTTCTTGGATGCTCCGTTGAAAAGTTCCACGGCCTTCTTGAATTGCCTCTCTCCAATAACGCGTGTGCTCTCGAACTCATCCGGATAGCTGGCAGATTCAACGACTCCACATGGTAAGAAAATAACTCGCAGAGGTAATGGTTCTTGAAACGGTAAATGAAACTCGCAGAGGTGATGCATCGGGATCTATATTTTCTGCATACATTTGCGTAATGACAATAACACGAACTTGGTTAGAACCTTTAAGAACATGGGAAATAAGTACCCGGGTCCACGGCCGTAGCAAAGTTCATTCCTTCCAGCACATGTACTGTGGTTGAAATCACAAGACAAGCCGGTGTCTAGACAGAAAGCTCCAAGCACATTCGGGCTAACGTCACCGCAATTTGTCTGACAAAAGGCAGAGACAAAACCCGGTTTGTCAGCGCGTCTGAACCTGCTTCTGACCCGTCTTGCAATACTCGACATCTTCGTTGCTGGTTTTCCACCCTCGGAACGAAAGGATGAAGCCAGCTCCTGCATTTCTTGATCTGCATTTGGTAACACTTACATATCATGTTCTGTAGAAACCTAAAAGTGTGATATGTTATATGATTCAGACAGCTTACATGTGCCATATGGATCATTGATAATACTGGAGACTCTTCTGTGAGAATCTTCTCTGTCATCTCCAAATGGATCTGTGGAAGACAAGCTTCTGCCTTTCTTCTCGAACCAGTCCTCCATGAAACGGGCAGCAGCACCTTTGTTGTCACCGCTGATCAAAGAGTTTGAACGGCTCATCGAAGTGCCATGAGTTGCAAACCAGTTGAAACTCCCAACCGGACCCCATTCATCGTCAAGAAACTTCACAAGTGTCATGTCTTTATCGACATTGTACTTGTATTTACGCCTTTCTTCCGCCGGATTGTTAAGGTACGCACTTGGACTACGGTTCACCCCGGCACCCGTCACCTCTCCTGCAAAATCCACCTCCAAAAAAATAAACTTTTTTTTTATACACACACGGAGAGAAATCAAGAAGGAAGAGTCCTATCCCTTCACCTTTTTTTATCAGAATTGAACCGGGCCTGAGATTTTCGTGAGCTTGTATGATACTTTGCTCTATACCGTCGACGAGAGCATCGAATGACTGATGAACGAACCCCAGAGATGTAACTATGTACAAAACATATTGAAGATAGCCTCCTGGACCGGCATGAGTATGAGTTCCACTGATTACGACGTTTCTCTCCGTATAAAGCTTGCCATACCTTCAAGCAGATGAAAGAAAAGCAACAGACCTCACCCCCTGTACAAGTTAATACAATAGTACCATAATACAGTACCTCAGTTTCAATCTTTGGATCACTTTCATTGTTACAATCTGTGATGCCATTCCAGAGTCGAGGTTGACGAAGACGACCCTTTTACCCTTGGATTCGGATACGATGAAAGTACGAGCCCTGAGCCTGAAGTGAACGCCAGAAGCCACTTGTTCCATGTTGGCATAACCCATCATGTTCACATCAGAGGCCGGTCCCGTTATGTCGTAGCTCCCGAGCCCTATCAGATAAGCGGAACTCTGTAACGCCGCCCTCTCGAAAAGGGCGTGACACAGAAACACAAGCCATAGCCTCGTCATCATCTTCCAAGTCTTGGAAACAGTCACTCCCTTTCCCATTCTTTCCTTCATTCAGAAAGCATGACAATGTCAACACATGTTTCATGACAATGATTGAAGAAAATATCATCTAACTAGAAGGACAGTCAGAAACGTAATCTTCTACGGCAACAGTGGAATCCACGGAAGGTTCGTGAACAATATATGTAACAGACGAAAACGTTTAAGGGGCCGAACCCATATCAGACATTCTGAGAAAATCTTCGGTATCATCTAGTTGGGCTTGAACCTTAATCAAAAAGTCGATGACTTTTGCCCGAAATTTAGAGATATTTCACCAGAAAAAACACATCTTCTGAGAACTGAAGCAGCTAGAAGCAAGAAAGAAATCATCTTTAATCAAAGGCCAAGCAGCACGTAATCTCCTCAAAAGGAGAAGACTTTAAACCCAAAACTAAACGGACCCACCATTGCAGAAGGAAGGAATCTGAGGGAACAAGTGGAGAGTTTAACAGCCCAAGTGTCGGTTTCTGAGGAGAAAAATGGGACAAGCAAATGTCGAGAAGCGAATACAGTTTGGTTGGGGGAGAACGAGGACGACGACGAAAGGGAACCTGACTCTGAATATGCATCCACACGTGTGGACTATAAAATGCATGTACTGTATATATATACTGTACACACCATGAAGTAAAGGACATAGAGGACAACAACCATATAGATTTGTATTCAATTCGATTCACCGTATGCTCCATGTTTTTCTTGTACGTTATGCTTTAGTTTCACAAAAATAGGTTACTTCGAAACCTGACTTGTTGATAATTTATGGCGAACGTTTGGTAATAAGGCAGCAAGCAACTCATAATTTCCATAAAAGACACGTCCTTTCACCCAATCCAGCCACATACTACGCATTATACATACACATATATATATATATATATATATATACACATACAAAAAGATAATTAATTTTAAATAATCTACTTGCGAAGGTTTTTATCAAAGCCCAAAACCGGGTTCTAGCCCAGACCTGAACAAACGGGCGCTTGTTTGGTTTTGTTTGGTTTGGTTGGTAAGGGTAGTTTCGACCTTTCGCATCCAATAATAAACGACATCGTTTTGATCTTGAAAATTCAAATTTAACCACTCGTTATGTAAATATATATAGATTTTAATTTCTCGTTCGTTCGGGTTGTTATCAGACAAGTCCATTTCTCAAACAAAAATTAAATTAAAATAGAATCTATTTAAATAAATTACAGCTGTAGCCTGTAACCGTTAAAGCGATTCCCTTCTATAAAGCTTTATTCCCCTCATCCATCATTTCTGAAACCCTAGTTTTACCTCTCCCTCCTCCTCTTTTTCAAATTTCAAATTCCCAATCCCAGAAACCCTAGTTCGCTCCCAATTTTCCAACATGCGTGAGATTCTTCACATTCAGGGTGGCCAATGCGGTAACCAGATCGGTGCCAAGTTCTGGGAGGTCGTCTGCGCCGAGCACGGCATCGATCCTACCGGTGGCTACCAAGGCGACTCCGATCTCCAGCTTGAGCGCATCGATGTCTACTACAACGAGGCTAGCGGTGGCAGGTTCGTTCCTCGCGCCGTCCTCATGGACTTGGAGCCTGGGACCATGGATAGCATCAGATCTGGTCCATACGGTCAGATCTTCCGCCCCGACAACTTCGTTTTCGGCCAGTCCGGTGCTGGTAACAACTGGGCCAAGGGGCACTACACCGAGGGAGCGGAGCTTATCGATTCTGTCCTCGATGTTGTCCGTAAAGAGGCCGAGAACTGTGACTGCCTGCAAGGTAAATTGATCCCCTGCTTGCGATATTCATTTCCTTGTGGTTTTTCCTCTGCTTGAATGTGCTTATCTTCATAGTTATGTTTCGTTTTAGGCTTTTTCCTAGTGTTACTTTTTTATTTTGCTGGATTCACTCCGCAGGGTTTCAAGTTTGCCATTCCTTGGGAGGAGGAACTGGTTCCGGGATGGGAACTCTCTTGATTTCAAAGATCCGGGAAGAGTACCCAGATCGGATGATGTTGACTTTCTCCGTATTTCCATCACCCAAGGTTTCTGATACTGTCGTGGAGCCCTACAACGCCACCTTGTCTGTTCACCAGCTTGTTGAAAATGCCGATGAGTGCATGGTTCTCGACAATGAGGCCTTGTATGATATTTGCTTCAGGACCCTGAAGCTCACAACTCCCAGCTGTGAGTTTTTTCCCTAAAATTATTCATGATTTCTGTGTATAAATTCTGTGATGTGTTTGGTAGTCGATATGCTCCTCTGTCACAGCTTATTCGTCTATGTTGGGTATGCTTTTGTTTCGTTTTGTGAATTATTTCAATGTAGTGATCAAATGACTGATTGTTATGAAGCCAAAGGAAATCTGAAACATATGCTGCGAAGTTGTTGCACAGCCTGCCCAATTGTTTGTGTTGTTTGGTTATGAATTATGGAAAATGTGTACTATTTCTATTGGATTATTGTGTCCATCTTCACCCTCTTGATTTGTCATGGGTCAAGACCCATCTCTGCTTGTTTTCGTGTGAAGTTGCATGTGAGCCTCACATTAGATCTGGTGTGTAAAATATATCATTTGGTTCTATGGCTGCAGTTGGTGATTTGAACCACTTGATATCTGCCACGATGTCTGGAGTGACGTGCTGTCTGAGATTCCCCGGTCAACTCAACTCTGATCTCCGCAAACTTGCCGTGAATCTAATCCCGTTCCCCCGTCTCCACTTCTTCATGGTGGGGTTTGCTCCTCTCACCTCACGCGGGTCTCAGCAGTACAGGGCCCTCACGGTCCCTGAGCTCACCCAGCAGATGTGGGACTCCAAGAACATGATGTGTGCAGCCGACCCACGACATGGCCGTTACCTGACAGCCTCAGCAATGTTCCGTGGTAAGATGAGCACAAAAGAAGTGGATGAGCAGATGCTGAACGTGCAGAACAAGAACTCGTCTTACTTTGTCGAGTGGATACCCAACAACGTGAAATCAACAGTCTGTGACATCCCACCAACCGGGTTGAAGATGGCATCGACGTTCATCGGGAACTCGACATCGATTCAAGAGATGTTCAGGCGGGTGAGTGAGCAGTTCACGGCCATGTTCAGGAGGAAGGCCTTTTTGCATTGGTACACAGGCGAAGGCATGGACGAGATGGAGTTCACGGAGGCAGAGAGCAACATGAACGACCTTGTGTCCGAGTACCAGCAGTACCAGGATGCTACTGCCGATGAAGACGCTGATTACGAGGATGACGTGGAAGGAGATTACCAACAGGAGGATGAGTATTAATTAGCATTTTGTAGTAAGTAATAGCGTTTTGTACTTTTGTTCTTGAGTTCTGTCCGAATCCATTCTCTTCCAGCTTTTTTGTCCGAATCCATTGCTTCGTTCCGTTCCTCTTTTTGCATTATTTGAATCCCTATACTTTATAATTATATGTAAATAAGCGACATTACAACTGATTTCGTCATAACTACGAGGCAAGAGTGTTGTCATTGTCTGCCACGTGTCAATTGAGGTATTTATGGAAATAAATTTGTTTGCTTCCAAATGATGATGTTAACTTAAATCGGGAGTCTCTCATTGTTTCGGTAAGTTTCCCCCCTAAGCCAAACATTGTTACTTGCTGACATCATCCCCGACATTGACACAGATACTGATACCATTGTGGTCTCGTATTTTTCCATATTTTCAATTTTCACCCTAACTTTGTGTATTTGTCAGTAAAACCCATTTATCAGCGTTTTCTTCTCATACATACATTGGATTGCGTCGGCTATCAAGCGCGAGTTTAAAGCAAGATTAAGGCTTCCATCTTATTTCAAGTAAAAACAGTGAATTAAAGTTTAATATAGTTTCCTAATTGTAAGAAATTTGGAAATAATATCATGGTTTTTGTTTTGTTTCAGGAAAAGAGCTCTTTAATCTTCCACATCCATGACAAAATTATGGGGGGAGAAGCAGTGAATGGATTCTACCAAGTCCACATTGAATCCAGAATCTGGATTCGGAGTCCGTACCACGGGATCTCACAATGTTAACGGACTTGTTTGAAATATCTTCCAAACTTGAGGGAGACAAAAACAAAAAGAGAACGGAAGCTGCTTTTTTGTCCAAAGGCTCTGCCTTCTCTCTCTATTTCTCCAACACCTGTCTGCTAAGAATGGCATTGAACTCTCGAAGACTCTTCTCAGCAACACAAACTCACAACAGCTAAGCTTCCTTTTTTTCCTCGCTAAGTCCATGACCCTTTGTTCCTCTCGCTTTAATACTCAAGAAAAATGCCTGCTTTCGGATCTCAACACATGACAAACCCCAGGGACTTGCCGCACTCCGGAGAAATAGGCGCCGCCGGTGACTCCTCGGATACTGAGTCCTTGTCGGATTTGGACCTGGAGAGGGGCGGCATGCTGCATTCCGGTGGTAAGAAGAGGAGGAGGAAAAAGAAGAGCAAAGGCGGGCGAGATTGCAGGATCTGTCATCTGGCTCTGGAGGATGAAAATGGCGGTGGTGAAGAAGAAGAAGATGATGATGATGATGAAGATAGTGAAGAAGAAGAAGACGAAGAGGGGGAGGAGGAGGAGGAGGAAGAGTGTTATGGGTTGCCTTTACAGTTGGGTTGCTCTTGCAAAGGTGATTTGGGTGTTGCTCACAGCAAATGCGCTGAAACTTGGTTCAAGATCAAAGGAAACTTGTAAGTACTCAAAAGAAATATTCACAATTTTCGCAGAGGGAGGAAATAGGTCTTGGATTTATGTTTTGGGGTACGCAGGTCATGCTGATGGGTTTTGACTTGTTCCTTGGAAATTATACAGCACTGGATGATTGATCTCTCTGAGTATCAGGTTTTGTTCTGAAGCATAAAGGATCAAATTTGCTACGACCCTTTTCTTTTCCTGATGATTGCTTCCTATGTGATGCTGCTGTCTTTGAGCTTATGTTCCATGTCTTGTCTCTCGATCTGTCCCGTGTTCCTCTCCATGGGAAGTTCTGTACATTCCGAACTATTTCTTGAAATGATCTAAAGAATCATATGTTATGTTCGAGGATGTTATGACCTTTTGATCTTTGGATTCGGCTCACAAGACTCTGGCTGTTTATAGATACGCTTTGTTGTTTCATGTCATCATCCATTGGTGTGAAAGCATATCATGTTTGGTGCGAATGCATACTACAGGACGTGCGAGATTTGTGGTGCAACGGCTCTAAACGTGGCTGGCGAGCAGTCAAACCTGGTCAACGCTCCCGCTTCATCTGCAGCAGCGGCGCAACCTCTGATTCAGACAGAGTCACGGGGAACATGGCACGGCCACCGTCTTATGAACTTCTTACTCGCCGGCATGGTCTTTGCCTTCATCGTCTCTTGGCTTTTTCACTTCAAAGTCCTCAAATGAACGGTTGTCATGATTTTACTCTACAATGTTTTTTTTTTCACCACAATCTTCTGCTCAGTTGTAAGTTGTTTTAACACGTTTTTTGTCACTGTAAAATCGGTGAATTTTACCCTGTTTAATAATATTACCTTCTCGGTTGTTCACTGAATAACATTTTACTCTGTGTTCTCTAAAGGATCACTAACTAATGATATGATCACATTATGTTTAAGTTCGTTTTACAGAAGAGAATATAACATTTGACTCAACTTACAAGATCACAATTGAATTGCCATGAATTTTATTTTTTGTGAATCACATTCTTTTTTAATGTTTTTCAATGTTTTAAATCATTTTTCATTTTTCTTTTAACTATAGGTGATATAAGAATTTTTTATTCAACCATGGATTTTGTTTTCTATTTTATTTGTCTTTTCAATATTATCTTGCTTTTAATTTTCATTTTTTTTCGTTTGGTAAATAGATTTTTTTCTTCCCAAATCTATAATTTCCTTTGTATATGTGTTTTCTTCCACACACTCCCTTTTGACTCTATTTCAATTTTATTTATACTTATCGATATATAAGAACTTACCTTTATCGATATATAACAGCATATATATATACACACACACATACACACCAGAGAATATTCACATAGAGATCCTGCAAACATACTTTGCTTATTCTCCAGCTCCAACATTATTAAGATCACAGAACTTTAAAAAAAAAAAAGTCTGCTGTGATGTAAAACTTATGCCCTCCCGGCAGACAATAGAGGCGGTGGACAAGCGACACAGCTTTCTTCTTCAGAGGTGCCGTTAATCTTAGTTTCTCGATCTCAAACTAAGACTCTCTCTTTATGCTCATTTGTAATAAGAGCCTTTGTTTTCTGAAGTTTCTCCTAGTTTCCTACACTCTACGACTGCTATACAAATCGAAAAAGCTTGCAGTAACGAGAGTGGTGAGTTGTACCCAACTGAGTATATGCCTTCTTTGATCGGTGCAAGGCTCAAGAACGGCTGTTCATCGCGTTTTCCCCCCTGAAAAAACCCAGTGCAAAACGTGTTGGCTACCGATGAATATGTGTGGAGGGACAAAAGTCGAGAATCAGTAGTACCGTAAGGAAGAGCTGGAAACGATCTGAAGATGCGGTATTCTTGCTCGAGCAGTTTGTAAGGACTCTGAGATTGCAGCCCATGTCCCAACCTCCGCAATCACAAGACCCACCTGATCTCCATCGTTGGATCAGGGACGACGGTCCACCTTTATGAGGCAGGCTATGAACACCGCTCTGGGTTATGACAGTGGCACTAATGTCTCGATCACAAAGAACTGGACCATTCCTGTCCTTGATCTGTGCATTTGAGTTGATGACAATGGCTGCAAGTTCGTTTTTCAGCTGCAGATCAGACTTTTCTTCGTTCCCTTTCCCTAAGTCTACAGAGAAGAGAACAAACTCTCTGATGGAGCCAGAAGGTGAGCTCGAGATCCGCATCTGAGCAAACACGTTGGAGATGATACCATGTGTTTGGCCTTTGCTTCTCTGGTTTAACCACACACCATTCTTCTTATGCTCATGGATGGAGAAGAAATTATACATACTGGTGGTACACTCATTCTCTTCCAAGCTTCCCAGTTTCTTTAGTGTTGCAGCAAGAACATCTCTTTCCTTGTTCACTGCAAATGTAAACAACAGTTGGTTGTTTTTAACTGTAACCCGCAATACAGCTTGAACCATGAATGACACAGGCTTTTTCTCCCGAGCCGAATCATCAACATTGACCATTTTGCAACCACTGACGCCTGATTTTACTCTTTGGACCCCTTGAGCTCTTGGATCCTCCAAGGAATTGTCTTTTGGCTTCAATAACGGCTCCAGTAACCTTCTAAATGGACTTATGGCAGCTCTATCTTTTCCACAGGGTTTGTTACAGCCAGATGAAGTAGCAGTATTTTGTGATCCAGACTTTGAGGAGTTAACCATCGAGTCCTGTCGGGTTACTGGAACAGCATCTCTTTCACTGTTATGTTTGCTCGTTTTACCTGTACTGAAGCTAAGTCTCTGAAAAGGCGAGACATTTGTTCTTCCCTTTTCGGAAGGAACATTGCACAACTTCGATACTGGTCCTTGGACAGAGCCTGATCTTTTATCTTGTGTGATTTTATCGTGGGAAGAACTAGCACTCGCCATTTCTGTTAGAGGCACAGACAGAGTTATTTTAACCAAGACCCTGCTCCTGTCCGCATCTCTGGAGCCAATGTCACTTCTGCAGTTGTCAGCTTCGCATGGCAAGGAATAAGAATGTCGTGCGCTATAATCTAATTCAACATGGCAAACTTCTTTGGTTTCTTTGGCCAAACTTCTCCTGCTAGGAGTTTTAGTCTCTTTCCGATCTAGCTTCTTAGTTGGATGGCGGAGCTCAGAGGCCCCCTGTAGCTTTCGACCAATGTCTCCCTCATGATCATTTTGGTTGCTTCCCTTCAGCTCATTATCACGTTTACCATGTCTATGCTTTCGAGTCTTTGATTTAATCTCCACCTTCAAGCCAAACTCCGGTTTCGACCCATTTGACAAAGATTCATTTTTTGGGCAGATCTTATCATTATTTTCACATCTGTCTGACCCAGGCGCCATGCCTTGAAGGAGCTGCTCGTCCCGTATGCTGAAACAATGATGATCCTTGAAGTTGATTTCCGGGATAGTTTTTCTGTTCTGACACTCCTTTACACACTCACCATAAGATTTGGCAATCTGAGAGCCCTCTTCAGGAGGATCTGACATCAGATGGAACTGCAGTGAGTGATGCTGTGTCCGCTGGTTCTGAACTTCTCTCCGACTCACAGAAGGGAGTCTACCTTTCTCTGACGCGTGTTTATAACAATGTTGCCACTTCTCCAGGCGGCCCCAGTTAAGAACGCCAACATTCAAGAGTTTGTCATTAGGGGTTTCGATTCTCTCCAAGAAAACAGGCAGATTCGACATATACTTGACAAGCTCACGCTCTCCACCGGCCTGGGTCTTCATACATTGCTCTGTAGGAGTCTGTAAAGGTTTAGACGAGGAAATTCTGTACAACTGCTGCTCCTTCAGAGCCTCTCGCGGATTCAAATGGCTTTCCATTGATAGTGTGGTTTGAAGGAGATTGCTCTCAGACAATAACGAGGAATTCGCATGATCCTCAGATCTACCACTTCTATCCGACTTCACTAACGTAGTTTGAGGACATATCTGGATACGGGAAACAAAAAAAAAAAGCATCAGATCAGATGTTTAACACTCTCGATCAATCAATCAATTATTATGCTACCAAACAAAAATACGCAAAAAAGGAAAGTTGCATTGCAAGCGTTTATGATAGGTCTGCCCCCGAATTTGTCAAGGAAACGCAGGAAAAACCAGAGAAAGTACAAAAAGGAGGAAAAGAAAAATTATAAGCCATCAACAAATAACGAAAAGCGCCGTGAGAAAAGAGAAATGGTCTGGCCTTAGTCCCTGAAAGCGCAGAAAAATGACATTTTTCAAGATCTTGAGATAAGGCGATGCAATTCTTCAATTTGATTCAAATTGACGAATCCTAAAGCGGAAATTTTGAAGAAAACTCAGAAGAAGAAACCAGAAAGTCCCGTTTATTCAAACCAAACCACGGACCAGAAACGGTTCTCAGAATCGATCAAGCCTCAATAGAAATTCAAAAGAAATTCAACAAATTTCGAGGACATCAAATCGAAACGAACACAGAAATCCAAATAATAAATGCACAGCACAGGATCGTAGCCTATTTCACTTCGCTATGTTTCCCAAAATTGATAACAGAGAAAAGCGGGAAGACCGCACATTCTTCAAATTCAAGCCAGGCAAAGCGAGAAGCTTAAACCCTAAAAAAACACACCTGAAAACCAATTAACACAGTGCAAATGGCGACAGTATCCCGAGAAAATCTGCGATTCAATACAAGAAGTTACCTCAAAGAGCTATGCAGAACTGACGCAACAAGAAGAAGAAGAAGATCATGGAGTCAAATCACTGGCGAGGCGAGTCAGCAGGAGTAGAGATGTGATCACCCATTAAAAAAACGAGGGAAGAGGAAAGAGAGAGAGCAGATGATCGGACGGCGGAGAGCAAAGGGAAGGGTAAATCGTGCGGCCAATATCACATCGCCCATCGAGAAAGGCGCGGGAAGGGTTCGTGTTGGGTGGGACCCTTATGTATACATACATACAAACTGCACATGTTTACGCGTGTACGTCGTGAAAAAAATAATAATACAGAAATCATATGTATTTCTTTTCTTTTTTTATAAATGAAATCATATATATTTCCTTATATCTAAATCTAAAAAACATTAAAAATACACCGCTCTTGGACTGTCTACGTATAATTTAACTATTTTTACTTATCAATGATTACATAAATAGCCTTATTGTTCATATAAGCAAAAAAATATTAATAACGTATGTTTTTAACCAAATATTAATTTGTGGAAACAACTATACTAACCAAATAGATTCAAAACAATAATATTTTTCATTAAAAAATGGATGAATGTATTAAAAGTTTAAAACCGACATAAACTACTCTTTTTTTTTCTTGCTGTTCATCATGAAATGTGAATTTTTTTTCCCGAAGACGATGAAATCCACTCGAATCGAATGATGGAATATATCGTAAAAGGCGATTTAAAAAGTACTTTTTTTTTTTTAATTCAGTGGATATTTGAATGTGATACTATTTTTACAACTTTACGTTTTGGTCTAAAGATACTTCGATGGCTCTTTTTTTGCTTTTCTTTTAGCGCCTCATAACAAGAGTCATGCTTTTTATTTTCTCCTTTGAAAAAAATCGTTTACTGTATTATATATATATATATATACATTTAATATATTTTTTAAAAAAAAAAACTTTTCAAGTATGATAAAATCCCCTAAAAAAACCTCCAACTTGCAAAAATATATACAAATAAACCTTCAACTTGAAAAACTGTCATTCAATCCCCGAACTTGTAACTTGTCACTAAATAAAACCTCGAACTTGCAAATTATTGCTCTAATAAACATTTGACCAGTTTGATCACAATTTCAAATGATCGGAAATCCACGTATTGACGGATTGCTGATGTCATCTTATACACGTTATCAATTTTAATTTAAAAAATGACATCAACAATCCGTCAATACATGGATTTCTGATCGTTTGAAATTGTGGTCAAACCGATCAAAGGTTTATTGGAGCAATAATTTGCAAGTTCGAGATTTTATTCAGTGACAAGTTACAAGTTCGGGGATTGAATGACCGTTTTTCAAGTTAAAGGTTTATTTGTATATATTTTTGCAAGTTGAAGGTTTTTTTAGGAGTTTTATCCAATTGTAAATCATATTATCCCACTAAAACTTTTGAAAGTAAAAAAGCTGAAATGAAAAGAGCGTTGAAAAGGTGAAGATATCGTATCTTAATGCATAAAGGCAGCCTTGTCGCATGAATCAATGAAAGTATGAAACTTAGAATCTAACATATTCATTCTCCATTATTCCATGCATCCCCACAACCATGGTCATTTATTAAAAGATAATAATAACCACATGGTTCGATTATTTATTTTTTTGACCACATAGACGATTTGCTCTTCATTCTAGAATTTTATAATTAAAAACGTTAATATATACGCATGTGTATATGAAAAAAAAATCACTAACATATTTAAAAAGTGTCTTAAGGTGCTAAGTGCAAGTTTAACTAGGGATGTCAAAACGAGCCCGACTCGCGAGCTGGCTCGTAGCTCACCAGAAAACGAGCGATTTGAGCCGTGATTTTTTCAACTCGTTAAAAAACAAGTCTAACGAGCCAGAGCTCATTGAACATGTGTTCAATGAGCCTGACTCGCGAGCTGGCAAACTGCTCAACGAGCTGGTTTTTTTCTAAATAAATTAAATTTATATAAAAAAACTCTAATATAATTTTATATTAATTTTTTCATATCATTTATATGATATTATAAATATACTAATTATTACGATGGTGATAATTGAAAATATTAAATGATATTGGTGTTTTATTAATTTTTATGTATTTATTTAAATTTATAATTATATTTAAAATAAATATAAATAAAAAAATATTATATATTTCTAACTCAACGAGCTGGCTCGTTGAGATCGGAAAATTGGCGAACGATCTGAGTCGAGATTTTTCTACCTCGTTAGAAAACGAATCTAACGAGTTGATCCCAAAACGATCTGAACTAAATGAACTGAGCCCAAAATGATCCGAACTAGTTCGTTTGACACTCCTAGGTTTAAGTGGTTATACAAATTTTATATAGTATATGATGTATTTAACAAGCGGACAGGATTGTGGACTTAAAGCCCACAATAGTTCAAACAAATTGCAAATGGGGCCAACTAGAGGTTAATGGGCTGACGACCTTGGCCCATTTATAATGTATCCATGTGTGAGTTTTCTACACTTGTTTGATCTTGTATCCTTGGTATTAAAAATATGAATAACGCTCATATTCAAAAGTACGAACATAATAAAATAAATTTATTTTAAAATGCATATATTGAATTTGAAACCATAAATACAAATGTACTTATTATTGAGAAAAAAAATATAACATTTAGAAAATGTAAAGAAACTTAGAACGGTACCAATAAATAAAAGTATAACTACATGAATGTGACCCACAAAATTATATTGCTATAAGAAAATTAAAAATGATATATATATATATAGAAAATCATTTAATTTCTCAGTATTCAACACGAAATATTATATTATTTATAAAAATAGAACAATAAAGTATCTTATTTAATTAATAAAAATAAATAAATAAAATTAAATCTACATATTACATAATATTATATAATCTTTTCAAATATTCTATATATCTCTTGATATATTATTCAAACTCAATAAGATCGTGAACAAATGCACCAATCCTTTGGATCCTGTCCTGGCGATATCTCTCTTAGAATAGCGTTTTCTTTTAACTATTTCAACCAATCGACAAGATTCCGAAGAGCAGCTTTTGTTAAAACTCAAGCAGTTTCTTGAAAATTTTGTTTTAGATATAAAACTTTGAGTATTGAGAGATGTTCAAGTTATTACTAATAAGATGACTAGATAACTAGGTAAACCTCCGGTGCGGGAGCAGCTTTTGTATATGGATCATATAAATCCAGAAATTATCTACCTCTCCACCGGTCAGGAATCGAACACTCAACCTTAAGGTGGAGTTACTTCCTACCCCAAACTTGACCACTCACTCACGATCTGTTTGGGTTAGTTAGATCTAAAGTTATTATCAAAGCTGACGCAAGAGCACCTGAAAAATCGCATTAAAAAAAGTGGAGAGAGGACGAGTCAAAAACATTTTCCACGGGACCCCCCACCTTCTTCACATCGTTCTCAAATGTATAAATAAAGTGTATTAATTAATTAATTGACATTGTTAAAGCCTCGTGCATTGCATTTGTACATATTTTTAAAAAAAAAAATCAAATCAATCCAACATTATTACAAGGAACCGAACATTAAAAACAACCCACGACCCGTCGTACAAATACATGCATGCAAAACCATGATGACATAGATACGTACGTATATGACCATTTGGGCATAAACAAATATCCATGCATCTTATTCATCAATAAATGATTGATTTTGCCTTGAGCCAGCCACGTACGTACGATCACAGAACATAAATCACATTTCTCTTATTCTCGTAGTACACCATATTCCTTTTATTCATCAACTTAATTTGTCGATGAAGAATTGATCATTGTCCCTAAACCCTGGTGAACCTAGAGGGCACGTGCCAATATTCTGTCTGAAGACGAACTGATCAGTAGGTCCATTCAGGCGGCAGATCCGCCGGTGGTTGTTGTTTCCCCTTCCGTGGTCGCTGCCATGATGAGCTGCCATTGTTCGTGGCTACCAACAAAGCATCTGTTTGATCAAGAAAAATACTCCCTGATCCGTTTACATTTATATGACGTTTTTTAATATATATATTTTTTTTGTTTCAAAATGATTTGCCCATACCATATTACATCATAGTTAATAAGAGAGAAACAATTAATAGTGTATTGAAAAAATAAAGTAACTAAAGAGCGTATTTTATATAAAATACTTTTTAAACGGAGGGAGTAGGGTTATTTTTCCCCTTATATTCAAAAAAAAAATACAAAAGGGATAAATTAAAGATGAACGTCGTTATAGTGTTCATTAATTAAATATCAGATTCAATGAAATGAGAGAGTACCATGGTGATGGGGAGGGAGATGAGAGGCGAATTTAGGGGGGGCACCAATGTTGTCAAAGTGAAGCTTCAAGGCTTCAACTACTCTTGCCGGTATTATCACTCTCGAACCTCCTGAAAAAAAACATTCATTACAACCTCAATCTCTTAATTACTTAATATTTTATAAATAAAAACTAACTTTTTTTTGTTGAAATATCGGTTCACTTTGACAAATCTTGCCGCCCACTGGAAAAACGTGCAAATCCAACCAAATATTTAATGCACAAAAACCAAACCCAAACCAAAAGGGATCACTGTGGATTCATGACGTCAGCCCTAACCATACACGAGAATGACAAACCGACATCTTCCCATGTTGCTACTCGCTTATATACACCTTGCTAGGAATACCTGAGAAAATCGATAGATTTGGATTTAGATTCGGAAAGTTCGGGTATTTAAGTATAAGATTTCTATCCGGGATTTGGTATTTACGAGTATCCGAGATACATGTATCCGGCTAATATTCGGGTATTCGTAGATCTCCGGATCTGGGTTTATTTAAGAAAAACAACAATAATCATATATAAATTTTTTAAAAAATGTAGATATATTTATAAAAATGGGTCAATTATGATAAAAATATATGAGATAAAAGAGATAATAAGAGATAAATAATAATAAATTTAATTTTTTTGAATTAATATTAAAAATATGATATTATTTAATCTAAAATAATTATATTTTACAAAAATATTATATAAATATAAGATATAATTATTTATAATCATAATAGTCGGGTACCTGTGGGTATCCGGTTTTAAAAATTCTATTATCTGCATTTGGAATCAGATTCATGGATATTGAAAAATCGGGATTTGGATTTAGATTTGAAAATTACGAGTATCCTAAAATCGGATATCCGTAAGACCGGTATCCGACGGATATCCGATTTTCGGGTATTTGTGCCCAGCCGGCCAGCCCTACACCACGCTACAACAAACGCGCCGAAAAGAATGAAATAGGCAAATCAAATTTTGTTTTTCACGGTAATTAAAACAACGCAACGATTTTGCAAAAAAAAAAATAAAAAAAAAATACCGCTTTTCTTATACGTAATAGTAAATAAAAAGTGGCGTGGGCATGTTTTTATTTAGAGGAAATTGGCGCAAAAAATGCCAATTTTGGAGAGAGAGAGGAAAATATATGACCTTTTTTTTTCAATTTGCAAACTTTACTTTTAAATGATTTTTTATATAAAAAATACTCTAGACTTTATTATCTTATATCAATATTTTCGTTTAGTGTTCAGACAAAATTTTCGAACGAAACATACTCTTCCAATTAAATTGTTTCGTCCGAAAACTCTTTCGTACAACACCTACCTTATTTTTGTCCGGGAAAATATGTTTCGTCCTCCACTGTCTTTTCCAAAAGAAAAAAAATTATATTTTGGAAATGTTGTAAATTAATAAGGATATTTTTAGTATTTAAAAAAAATACATTTTGTAAATACCGATATTACAAACAACACCTGCCAAAACATTTGGTCAATAACCCCTTTTTATTTACTTTTACGTATTTTTGCATCTTATTAATTTTCTTTTATGAAGCATATTAGTCAAAGCCCACAGCCGCACATCATCTTTACCAAAAAAAAAACAAAAAAACTATAAAGATTATTCGATGAAAAAAGGAATCTTTTTTTCACGTTGAATCGGAACCCAAACTTAGTTAGAAACAAAACTCAGTCAAAGAAGGTAAGAAAGATTCCAAAATCGCCTCAAATAACTTTGTTTTATTGTTAACTCTTATATTCAAGGATTAAAAAATAATAAATTTAATTCATAATGAATGAGAGAGGAAGGAAACTTACCCGACAAGTAATACGGAAATAGAATGTATTTTGCAAACAAGATATACAGAAACTGAGTCGAGTTGACAGATTCTAACCTGTTCTCTTGCGCGACTCCGAAACGGCGCCGGTGCCACGTGGCAAAAACACACCGGTTCCGGCGGATCTGGGTCTCGAACCCCACCCGTCAAGGAACACCGCTTTCATACCCGACCCACTTCGCTGGTAGTTCCCGTCACTTGCTTTCTTCCCGAAAACGCCGTCGTGTCGGTTCCTCTGTTCTCGCTTCTCCCTCTCTCTATCTTCCTTGATCTTGCGAAACTGCAGAACCGCCATACAAGGAGGAAAAAAGGGCATGAAAATGAATTCTACGGCTGAGATGAGATTATGTTCGCCGCATGGCTCGATCTTGACCGTTCAAAGAGAGTGTGAGCTCACGTTTGATTGAGCCGATCTGATTTGATCAATGATTAGGGCTTGTTTTACCTTCATCTCCTCCCAGGCCGGCGTCAATGGCGGTGACGGGCCGATGGAGCTGCCTGAGCCAAAGCCAAACGGCGAACCTAGTGTCGATTGCGGCGAACCAGACCCTCCCCATGACTGATCAGACGTTTCAAAGAGAAAAGCAGAAATCAGTGATTTTGACGCGAACCCATGTTCTAGGAATCGGGAAAGGTTCGGAGTCTGTGGAGTGTTGATCAGCACGAATCTAAAGTAAACACCTTGTCGTCGTCTTGAAGCATGTAGTTGGCCATCTGGCGAGTCAACTCGGCCAGGTAATCGTCATCTTCCCTCTCTTGTCCTGCCGGTTCTGATCCAAAACCGACCAGTCCGGTGGGGCGTATTTCAGTAGCTTCCATTAGTCGAGATCTCTGGCTTTTAATGGCCTAGATTCAGGGTTCTGATATTGCCACCATATGTTGTGTTGTCGGACTTAGCAAAGCATAGAGAGAGAGAGAGGAGAGAGGAGAGAGACAGAGATGAGGGAGGCGTACAAATGGAGGAGAGCTATTAGAACCTTCTTCAATCACTTCTGCCGTTTTTTTCTTTTTTTGTTAATTCTTTGCATTATATATATATACACCATTTTTTTTTCATTTAATAAAATATGGATTATAAGTCAAATTATATAAACTTTTCGAGAGATTAATATCAGTTGGATTAGGAGACGTGGATAGAATGTCTACATCCCACTAACTTTCATATAAGTTCATGTTAGACGTGCAAAATTGTTTCGTAATAAATGATTAGAGGGAAGGTTTTGATTTAAAGTAGGATCCATCCAACCAATTTATGTATATATGCATTGTAAAAGTTGGATTCCGGATTGGAAATAATAACTAAATCAAACCTAGGTTCAATGCACGACAACTTCATTTATTCTTTTATTTGTTCTTTTTTGTAAAAATAAGCAGCACCCTAGTTTCAGTTTCCGTTTTGTTTACATCAATCTTATGAATGACCAATCAGGTCGTTGTAGTATAGTGGTGAGTATTCCCGCCTGTCACGCGGGTGACCCGGGTTCGATCCCCGGCAACGGCGATTTTAAATTTTAAGCTCCTCTTGAATTTTGAAACGACTTAAAAAGCACACACGACGTCGTTTAGATCAAGCAGACAACGAGGGCGAAAGACTTCACGTTTCCCATCACTCGCCCCGTCGGTTTCTCACTCCGGAGACGGCACGCAATCCTTATCTTCGACGACACTCACACACAAACGAAACGGCACTCACTTTTTTTTAAAACCCAACCAAAAAAAATCGAATAAATCGGTCGAGTATATGGCGATCTCCGTCTTGGCGCATCTCCGGCGGCGGTTACTTCCGACGACCCTTATCCACGTCATGGCCCTCGACGGAATCATCAACGTCAATTCCCTCTTCTCTGTCGCTCTCTTCCTCGGCCTCACAACCACCGGCCGCACCACCTCCGCCTTGGCGGAGAGAGTTGTCTCCAGCCACGTGTACTCTTTCAGTTCCTTCATGTTCTCGAGCCTCGTCGCTCTGGCTCTCAAGCAATCCATCAAGCCAACAAGTGACGCTGTCGCGGCGGCGCGTGGGTTTCACGTGGAAACTGGGCGGGTTAGCGTGGTTTTGTTGAGGGTGGGGATACTGGGGTCGGGGATGGGGTCGGTTTTCGGGTGCGGCTTCTTGGTGTGGGCTCTGGTGGATCTTGTTCAGATAAAGCTCGGACCTTTGGGATGCGTCAGAGACTTTTATTCACTTGGAGCCATCGTTCCTCTTGTCGTGTTGGTTCCTTCTGCTCTCGCTGTCTACGTCTTCCTCGTTCTCTACGCATTTACTCAGTGACAGAGCTTTCTTGATTAGCTTCAGAGGTTATCGTTCATATATACGAAAGTTTCCAAATTTCTCAGTTTCTGGGGAATTGGGTAAATGGGTGTAAATCAATTTGCCCTTCAAAAATCGTAGAAGAAGAAACAGAAGTAGCACTTTTTGATTTTGTCCCTTCAATCAATCAGCTACAACATAAGAGCTATTGTAAAATGAAACAAGAGAATCATGGTGATACTTTTTGTTTTTCGGAACAAAGATTCTATTGATGAACAGACAACAAAATCATGAACAGACCCGGATCAGATTTCTAACATGACAAAAGCATCAGCTTATACAGGGGAGCTTGAGTCAAGATTCACCACTAGAAGATTACACAAATCCTTAGAAGGTTACACAGTTGGCTTCCCATTTACACGTTCAGAATATCCAGACACAGGGCGGGCTGTCTAATAATAAAGCGAACCTGCCAAGATTAGAAGGCTATATTAATTAACATTTATATATAAACCATAGATTATAGAAGAAAGGTCTCTTTTATCTACAAAGAAGGAGGACGCACACCTTGCCACCAATTGCCCCTGTATGCGTCCTGTGAATTGTTTCCATTCTCGACTTCTCCACGATGATCCTTGACCTGAAATACAATTTCATTACGTATACCCATATCGTGTTTCGCTGTAAAGTTCCTGTCTTTCTTTGAAAGAACAGTGGAATCATTAAGGGGACAGTATACTCACTGGATGGTGGTATGTTTGGTTTGTTGTGGGGGAATATACTTCTTGGCCACCGTAGTGAAGCGATGAACTTAGATGACATGGTGGGTTGCTCTCTCTGCTCGGCATGTTCACATATTCTGTACGCCCGCCTAAAGAAACGTAAAACGACCATATATTTATATATATTGACATGAATCTATAAAGGAAACCACTTTTGAGTTTCTTGATTCAAAATTTTACTGATAGAAAACAGGTGAAACTGAGTTTATTCTGAAAAAAAACGGTATATATAATATATCAATTTGAGCCGTTCTTGATTGAGCAACTGCAAGCTGTGTGTTAAGTGACCTGAAGAGCCATGGTTGGAGGTTGGACTGTTTCTTGCTCCGGTCTGAAAAAAAAAAGACGAGACGAAGAAGAACGAGTTCAATTAAGACTGGACCTTCAAGAAGAAGATACAGACAGAGACATCACCTTCGATGGAGGGGGGAAAATGGAGGCGAAGGCTCCAGAAGAAGACGGAGGCTGAGGGTCTTTGGTGCCGAAAAGTTCAGCGGTGAACGAAGAAGAGGAAGACCCAACTCGCCCTTTGCCTTCCATTTCACTCGGTAGATTTCGTTCGACTGAGTATATCTGCAGAGAAGAATCTGAGGAGGATGAAGGAGAAGATAGATGGATGAGGTGCGTTTAACCTCGAAGAAATGAGCAGGTATATATACATAATGCTACAGGGGTGAGCGACGGCGATAGTGGATCCATCAACATCATCATCACCATCGATTCATTATCATCCTTGGAAAAAGAAGCCTGTGGGGGTCTCTTCTTTATGCTCATCAGATGATTATCGTTGTTATTATATTATATATGGAAAGCACTTGTAACAGCCGGGTTTCCAAGATGAGTATGGATATTCCCTGACAAAATTCATAGTTTGGAGATGTGAATCGGATCTTTTTGTTTTTCAATATTCTTCTTTATAATTGGTTGAAATTGCAATTCTTTAAAAGTGATTTCCCCAACAAATGTTATCAGTTTTCTGTTATTATTCATATTAGAAAAATAAACAAGGTTTGATCATAGAATTTAAATTAATTTTTGGGGTATGCTTCAGATGCATATCTCTCTTGCTCTGGTTATGGTTTGCTTGTGTTTGGAAGAGATTCCAAATGAATTAGTGGCATCTCTGATAGAGAGAGACAAGCACAGTGACATTCACAGAGACTTCAGTGGTTACTGTTCCAATATCTTCTCACTCTCTCTCTCTAACTACAACTTAATTGGATAAGTTCGACGAAGACAAATGGGTATTCGCCACGTGTCCATCACGGATAGGTTTCCGACCTTTCTTGATCCTAATGAGCCAAACGCACACAGACAATTAAGGCTTGTTGTGAGAGCTTCTTCGCATGTTGCTTCCTTGGGGAATGTTTCTCTCACCTACTTGCCTTTTCTCGTAATGTTAATTTGACCATTTTCCAAATCTATCAACCAAAAAAAAAAAAAGTTATTCATGTTTTTTCTTATATATATATATATATATATATATATGTATGTATATATGTATGACGACAAGGCGATAAGATTCCTTCACATTCTCGAGCTTATCTTTTTATCTCTACACTATGATACAACGAAAAGGGAAAAATTATAGGGTGACCATTTCAGATTTCGGTTTGGTTTTCGGTTTAGTTATTTCGGGTTCGGTTATTTTAATTATAAAGAAATCATAACCAAACGGTTATATGAATTAAATCGCTTCGGTTCGATTCGGTTTCGATTCAGTTTTAGCACAAAAAATTATAATCGAACGGTTAAATTTAGATCGATTCGGTTTGGTTCGATTATATTCGGATATAAATAAACAATAATATATACGAAATAAATTACAAAAAAATCTTTAAAAACTTCGAATTACATCAAAATATTAATCCTTTAAAATTATCAATCTAAACCAAAATACATAATATTAATCTTCCAAAATTCTCAATCCAAATTTTAAATCACAAAATTTTCGAAAATTGTTCAAAATTTCAACCTTCACCATTTTTTTTATCTTCATTTATTTAAAAGAAATACAATAAATTAATATATAATATATATATAAAAAATAAGATTTTAATCAAACAAAAAGTTAATTTTTAATTATTTATAAATTAAAAGTTGAGATATCAATGAATGCATAAAAATAGAAAGTGAAATTATAAAAATATTTACATAAATATTTGGAATAACACACTAAAAACTAAATAAACATTAATAACCATTCGGTTAACCGCGATTATTCGGTTATTAACCGAATCGGACTCGAACGGTTATTGAATTTGCTCAACCGATCGGTTATTAAGCGAATAATCGAACCGAACCGGATCACTGTTATTCGGTTCGGTTCGGTTTGGTTCGGTTATTCGGTTAATAACCGAAATGACCACCCCGAAAAATTAGCATGTAACTATATTATCTATATCATTTTATAGATTTGTTATTACGAGATAATCCGATCCTCTATATATTTTTCTATATATGCGACCTCCTTATGCAAAATCATTATCAGAGATATGAATACTATAGGTACAATAATAAATGATAAATTAAAGAGGAGATATTTGGATATAGATGAAATTAAAATATTCGAGGGAATCAAATTCAAACAATGTATCGTGATATGATATCTGATAAAGTTTTTGTAGCAAATGATTCGAACTAACACACACAATTACATACATGGATCATATTATAAATCAGAATATATATTCTGTAGTTTGATGTTTGACAACATGCATGCATGAAGTCCATACGTTCATCATTAACAATATGCTCCAACATTTTTTTCCATAGATTTGGGTTAATTATGTGAATTGTAATGCCATGAATTTGTGACATGATGGATATTAAAATAAAGAAAATTAATTACGATTAGAGGTGAACAAAATTTGATTCGACCACACTAGTTCTTCTTCTGTCATTTTCAAATAATTACGATCGAGAACAAATTAACAAATATAAAATATGGTTGGTGGGAGATTTTCCGTAATGGTTTATGTATGGCTCTTCCCTTGCTGTCATTATTAATAATATCTTTGATAGAATAAAAAGATTATTCTTTGTCCGTTGATGAGGTAGATGCCGATATACATGTATGTATATCTTAGCTTACTTTATCAACAACAGGGCCAGCATAATAACAAAATATGGACCGCATATATAATATTCGAGATATTCAAATCAACTTTAAATCTGTACAATAATATAATACACATTTATATAATAATCACTAGATTGATTTGTAAGGGATTGAGAACAAGACTATGTAATCGTAATTGACGTGTTAGCCGAAATTGTAGGACGACTTTATTTATTTTGGTATATTTTTCGGATAATAGGGCAACCAAAGTTTTTATCTAGCTATAGAAAGAGATAAACTTTGATTAATAAATATTTATATAAAATAAAAATTCTATACATGCATATATTTTTTCGTTTTATTAAATAAGAAATTAAAAAACTTTTATAGCAAATACAAAAATGATAAAATTGTTAAGAAATGTCAAATGGGCTTGCTTCAAAAAAGCCCAATATCAATTTGATGAGGTGGCTTCTAATGATTGGTTTTAATATTGGTGACAAGATAGGCACGAGAGCAACTGATCACAGCTTAATATGAAATTCCAATAATAACCTTGGAACATCCTCTTACTTTTCCAGCCTCTACGCCAGCCTGCCTGCGTATCATTCGCTGCCACTTCAGCACTGCCGGTATACACGTACATGCGTATCTATGCACTTTTATTCGTTCATTGTTCTCAGAAACCAGAAAATTTCGTCAGAATTCTCCCCATTGGCTGGAGAAATTGTTTGGAGGTGGTCAGGGGGATACGAGAGCTGTCAAATTGCGTTCCTGAAGGGGAGAAGTTCGCTTCTCGATCGATCCGCCGTTTTTTCCAGCGAAAAGGTAGGCTTCTTTCCTCATCTGATTCTCTAGGGTTCGTGTTAATTTCCTCGGATCTGTTGAGTTTCGATGATATGGATATGATAATGATGGTGATTCGGGTTTTCTGAATGCGCACGATGATTTGTAGGTTGATCGGGCTATTGGAGAGGCAAATGGCGCATAGGATAGATCAGGATTACGATTATTTGTTCAAGATCGTGTTGATCGGTGATTCTGGTGTTGGGAAGTCCAATATATTGTCGAGATTCACCAGAAATGAGTTTTGCTTGGAATCCAAGTCCACCATCGGCGTCGAATTTGCCACCAGAACACTTCAGGTTAACCCTCCACATCTTCTCTGGTTCTTTTCGTAAATCATCGTATTATGCTAGGGAAGCACACAAGTACAGTTCGGGATTAGGGAAATTTGGATAATCAAATTGTAGAATTAGTCTATTCGCACAACTGAGTGCGAAATGCCATCTGTAGCTGCATGTCGGTTCACCTCTAAAATCCACCCTTTAGGTTTCCCGGATCAGACTTGTAAGTGTTAAGAGTTGAGGTCAATGGTCTTCATTTTGAGGCAGGCGTTCTGTAATTTACTTTAGTTTTGCATCCATTTGAGTCCAATGGTGAGGTAGACCACTTGAGTCTAATGACGGTACCACCATACTTGCAAAAGGGTAATGTAGAAGTGGAAGATTTTACTTATCTTTCAAGAAAGCTCTCTTCCTTTCACCCTCAAGATGAATAAAGATTGTCTCTCGGCGGAGTATGCAGCGGAATATTTGGCGCATTCTTCTCTCAGAAATTGAAATGATTTAATCGCACTTGACCTGGCAGGGTCAAGGTGTGGCAAAATACTCATCTTTAGATGTGCTGGCCATGACCTATGCTTTTATATATTTTACTCTGTGAATGGAGTGGCCATGAGGACTGGTGGGCAAAAAAGTTTCCTCAACGCAACTTGTCCAAGTAGTTCATAATAAATCCTCATGGTCGGCTCATGTAAAGTGCCATTGCCACCATCGTATATGCTTGAAATGGTCAACCTCTCTGTCTTGGACAAGTGCTTGTTTACAATGCAAATAAACTCTCTCTGCATTCGAGGTGCTTGCTTCATCTTTTTTTGCTGTTGTGTCCTAATGGGGATACAGGTAGAAGGGAAGACGATCAAGGCACAGATATGGGACACAGCAGGGCAAGAACGGTATCGGGCAATCACCAGTGCTTATTACAGAGGTGCCGTGGGTGCACTTCTTGTTTATGACATAACCAAGAGACAGACCTTCAACAACGCCCAGAGATGGCTGCGAGAACTGAGAGACCATGCGGATTCCAACATTGTGATAATGATGGCTGGGAACAAATCCGATCTGAACCACCTGAGATCAGTTGCCGAGGAAGACGGCCAGTCTTTGGCCGAGAAGGAAGGCCTCTCCTTCCTCGAGACGTCAGCCCTCGAAGCCACCAACGTGGAGAAAGCTTTTCAGACCGTTTTAACAGAGATTTACCATATCGTCAGCAAAAAAGCGTTGGCTGCTCAAGAAGCAGCGGCCGCTAACTCTGCAATTCCTGGCCAAGGAACTACCATCAACGTTGATGATGCATCTGGAGTCGCCAGATATGGATGTTGCTCTTCTACTTAAAAGGTAAAAGCTCGTCTCTTCTTCTTGTTGTTGTCTTTTGTCCCCATGTCTTTGTCTATTCTTCTTGTTATTGTTCCTGTTTTATAAGATTGAGAAGTGTTCATTTTTTTCTCTCTGTACTTTTGACTTTTGTAACGCCATTGAAGTAGAAAATGACCCATTACAAGAGCACAGAGAAATAGTGGTTGTGGTTGTGGAGAATCATTTCATATTTATAATTATCACCCCCGCAAAGGTTACAAAATGCAATTTGACAAAAGTCAACTTCGTTTCACACGTGCGCATTTTCAAATCACGATAATGCAATGGTAAACATAGGATTCATATTTAATGTCAAAATAATTTTTACCGTTTTATTGTAATCCAACATTTTCATCATTCATGTGTTTTACATCCCCATTCGTGAACTAGTCGATTTTTTTTAAAAAAAAGGGGGTTAAATCATATCTTGATTAAAAACAAACCTCACTTTAAAACAATCCATAAACTTGAGAATTGGCCAAATTTACTATTTGATAAATAATTAGATCAATTATTTGATTCATTTCTCTTTTGTGGAAAAATATTATTTAATTCTAAATAAAACCCCGATTTCTTTTATATGATTGGTATAAATGATTGTTTTACATGGGTTGTATATAGAGTTAATTTAAAATATATAATATATTAAAATAATCACAAGTGACGAGGGAATAGTGGGGACCAGAAAATCCGTCCAAAATGGAAGACAGACCAGATTGAAGAGATTATTATAATATTGCCAAAGAGTTGCATTTCATTTCATTTCAGTGGCGCCTCCTGGGAATTTTATTTTAATTTTACATTTAATATATCGTTTTTCTTTAAGTTTGAAGAAAAAATTGAATACGCAAAAAAACGAAACCAAAAGAGATTCAGCCCACCAACACCCGATAAACGCCACCCATCAGAGAATTTCGTTTGCGAAAAAGAGTTGATTAAATCGGAGAAAAAAGGGATCAAACATCAAGAGAGGATTCGAAAGTTGGGTTTCCTGGGCGATCGGTTCTCTGTCCGGAAAGATCGGAACGTTGTTGGGAGGTGGGTTCGTGTTTGAATGGCAGAACAAGGGCAAGGAAACATGGACCCTGCCGTTCTCGACGACATCATCCGACGTTTGTTGGGTTACAGAAACCCTAAGCCTGGGACGAAGCAGGCGATGCTCAGCGAGGCTGAGATCCGACAGCTTTGTCTCGTTTCCAGAGAAATCTTCCTTCAACAGCCCAATCTTCTCGAGCTGGAAGCTCCCATCAAGATCTGTGGTAATATTCCCTCTCCCTGTTTCTGGGTTCGTCTTTTTTTTTGGGATCTGAGTTTTCTGCGTTTTTCTTATTCCCCTTCATTGAAAAGCTTGCAGCTTTAGCTTCTTATCTCTTGTATCTAGGATCAGTAGAGGAGGAAATGTGAATCTTTTTTCCGTAGGGCAGAGATATTTGGTCATCGTCTGATTACGGCTGATCTCTGAATGGAAAGAAAAACAATGACATAGTTGTGTTAATGATCATTTGATGTCCAAACGAATAGAGGTGAGAGAAATTGAACGATCATTTTGATAATTTGTGAAGATGAAGTCGTAGGCTAAATTCAGTTTGATGGGGAAATACCTTTGTTCAAAGGACCCTATCTCATTTTTCACAGAGATTAGCTTGATATTAGACCTATCCTTGTAACTTTAGATTGAAGAGTCAAAGGTGATTAAAGCCCAAGAACACTTCATGATATGCTAAGGATAGTGGTAGAGCTTGCAGTTAAGTTTGTGTGACCGTGCAAATGGATTAATCTTGATTTTGTTTGTTTCCAAAGATGTCGTGTTTGGGTTTATCAACCTTCAACCCATTGTCATCTGCCTTTCTGCAATCGAGTTTCATCTTAAGACGATGGGATTAACACCTGATATAGGCATGCGTGATCCCAATTCATACTCTAGTGCTTTCCTTGAACTGTAAATTTCACATTTTTTTAATGATTAATTGTTCCTCCAGGTGATATTCACGGCCAATATTCGGATCTTCTGAGGCTTTTTGAGTATGGGGGCTTCCCTCCCACGGCAAACTATTTGTTCTTAGGGGATTACGTGGACCGTGGCAAGCAGAGTTTGGAGACTATTTGTCTTTTGCTCGCCTACAAAATCAAATACCCGGAAAACTTCTTTCTCTTGAGAGGAAACCATGAATGTGCCTCTATTAACAGAATCTACGGGTTCTACGATGAATGTAAACGCCGATTCAGCGTGAGACTATGGAAAATGTTCACTGATTGTTTTAATTGTCTTCCTGTGGCTGCTGTCATTGACGATAAGATATTATGTATGCATGGAGGTCTTTCCCCTGACTTAACCAACGTGGATCAGATTAAGAACATTCAACGTCCAACTGATGTTCCTGATTCTGGTTTGCTCTGTGACCTACTTTGGTCCGATCCCAGCAAAGATGTCAAAGGCTGGGGAATGAATGATCGTGGAGTCTCTTACACTTTTGGACCCGACAAAGTCGCTGAATTTCTAATAAAGAACGATATGGATCTCATCTGCCGTGCCCACCAGGTTCGTTTTCTCTCTCTGCATCTACTTTTTCGGAAAATGGATATGCCCGTAAAACGATGTCTTCCAGGTTGTAGAAGATGGGTATGAATTCTTTGCTGATAGACAGCTCGTTACCATATTCTCTGCTCCCAATTACTGCGGCGAGTTTGACAATGCTGGTGCGATGATGAGTGTTGATGAAAGTTTAATGTGCTCTTTCCAAATTCTTAAGCCCGCTGATCGGAGGCCTCGGTTCTTATGAAGAAAAGAGGTACTACTATTCATTGCTTTTTTGCAATATATATATATGTGTGTGTGCGCTCGGTTATCATCATTGTAAAGTCCCTGGCCCTTGTATCTGAATGTGGACTCTGACATCAGTTCATTCATCTAAAACATGCATTATGTTCTTAGTATTTCATCCACCAATACAGCAATGCTTTCTGTCTGATACAAGTTATATGTCAAAGACTAGCTGTTTCAATACTTTTGAAGGTTTCTGTATCGGATTTTGACAACGGGTTGATCCAACATACGTAAATTTCTCAGATTTTGATGATGGGTTCATCTAATATACAATCAAGTTGTCAGATTTTGATAATGGGTTCATGTAACATTATCGTAAAGTTGCCAGATTTCGATGATGGGTCACCTGGCATGCTTAAAGTTGTCAGATTTTGGTGATGGGTTGGTCGAACGTGCGTAAAGTTGTCGGATTTTGATGATGGGTTGATCGAACATATGTAAAGATCTGATATTTCGGTAGCTTACACCGGTACTATGTAATCCGCATCGCAGTTCATCAATGATCAAGTTAAGACTTGTGGCGGAAATAAGAGGAGAAGAGGTGGTGTGTGCATACAGAGCGGGGGAGGCAGGTTTTTCTGGAGTTGCAAAGGCAACATGTTTTTTTTACATGTTATCATCATCGTCATTAGTTGACACACCGCCCATTTGTCATGTGAAACGATTGTGTTGTATGGGTTGACTCAAAAAGCCTGCGGGCTTTATTCTTCTATCAATTGGAATTTGAGATAAATCCTCTCCTTGGTCTGTTTGTTCATAGTTAATGCTGCGGATGAAGAAAGACAGGCAAGTGCCTGTTAACACCATCATTCAAGTGGTTCTTATGCTATCTATGTACGTGTGTGTGTATATATATATATCATTCTGTGTGTATATACGTATGCAGGTCTATGTCGTGTATATAGGATCACTTCCTCATATTCTTCTACCTAATATCATAACTTGTCACTTCCTCATATTCTTCTACCTAATACCATAACTTGTCCCTCTTATCCCTTGGTGGCATGATGGTAAAAAAAAAAACATGCAATTTGTGTTCTAATATCACTTTATATTTAATCTAATCGTGGAGAGAAATACTTAGATAAATAAAAATTTATCACCGACAATGGCTGATTCCGCGATTTGGGGATTAATTATACCGAATGTCCAATGAACCTCTTTATTATAATCGAACCCGGTTTTAGAGTTTCCTTCACGCTTCAATCACATCACATATAATATTTGGTTCGGGTATCCGAAATTCGGGTTTTTTTTTTCCATAGTTTTACTGCAATCAGTTCTGTTATGTATCATATAATATAAGGAAGGTTTTGGTTATCTTCCTCTTTACCACAGCAAACTCATTGGAGCTAGATTCTATGCCTCATCAGACTCAAAACTTTGCCTGCAAGAGACGGTCAGGGCCACACCGCGTCCACTGCCCCGGGAAACACCATAAAAGGCACGAGCTGAAATGATGCAGACATCTTGGCAGCCTTTGACGATGCAATCTCTGATGGAGTCAATGTTATATCCATCTTGATTTCCTCGAGCTTGGTCTCCGATTTCATGACCGACTCGATTTTTCATTGGTTCTTTCCACGTCATGTTGAAAGGGATTATCCCAACTGGCTCTGCAGGAAATGGAGGGCCAGTTCAAGGAACTGTGTCTAATGTTTCCTCGTGGATTATAACCACAGCCGTGAGCGTCATGGACCGTCGTTTCGTCGGTAAAGTCATTCTCGGAAACGAGAAGACGTTGACGGTGTAAGAGACCTTTGGCCCATGGATATCTTCTATTATCTCCCTTTGATATTAGTTGTTCAACTTGTTCGAAACTGTAATCTCATTTAGCCCGTTCAACCTAAACGGAACCAAATTCCTGATCGTGTATGGCAAGAACGTTTCAAGAAGATGTACCGAGTTTCATTCTGGGTGAGTTCCTCCATGATCTCTATCTCCAAGCACTTCTCCGAACCCCTGATAAAAAATGTGAAAAGATCCAATCAAATCTCGTGTATCTCATCATATTCGATAACAGTTCTTGTGATCCCAGGTGCGTATACGTTCTCCTCTCGGGGACTGATTCGGGACCTTTTGAAGGTAATTCCATCCGACACGAAACACGAATGTGCACCGTGTTCTTGCCACCACCATTTCTGGCATTGCATTCGGAATTTTTTGGATTCAAAGCCTGATATAAGCGCACCGGTTTTGTGATATTGGCCGGTTATTCTTCCATTGCTGAGTGGTACCTCCATGGCATGCCCTCATGTTTATGTCAAATCTTTTCACCCTACTTGGTCTCCCTCTGCAATCAAATCTGCCATCACGACCACTGGTAATCTATAATCTGAACCAAACTATTCAAAAGATACATCGATACAGATCAGGATTCAAACCTTGTCTTGATGTGGGTGTTGTACTTGTGTATGATTCAGGTGACATAAACCCGGCGAGAGCGATCGATGAAAGTCACTCTGAAAATTACATCAATACACTATGTGAGGGCTATAACTCAAAGTTTCTCAGGACATCCAGGCAGGACATCATTTGTCCAACCAATTCTAACAGAACAGAATTCAAAGATCTGAACTACTCAGCAATGACGGCCTTTTTCACGGCCATAATTCCTTTCAGGATAACGTTCAGAAGAGCTGTGACGAACGTTGGATTCGCAAACTCTACGTATAATGCGAGGATAATTCCTCCTCAATCGGAGACTATGATCGATGTTGAGCCGAGAGTTCTGAGCTTTGGTTTCTTGGGGGAGAAGAAATCGTTTGTTGTGACGATTTCAGGGAAAGTTTTGAAGGATGGAACTGTTGTGAGTTCGTCTCTGATTTGGTCTGATGAAACTCATATTGTTCGGAGTCCCATCGTTCATAATCTTTCATGTCGTGCTGAGCAACTGTATATTATATGTCTTCCTACGAATCATTTCCATCTTGCAGAACATCGTAGCTCCCTGGTCCGTCGTACCCTTGAAGCCGCAACATTTGATTAAGTTCTTGTAATCTCTGATAGATTGCTTCTTTTTCAGGGTGAGTTATATCGCCCAGAAGGAATTCATGGAACTCATTGTTCACTTGGATGGTGCTGCAACCGGGCTCCTTCTGAATCCCCAAATTTTTCATCCTTGCCCTAATTTCAGCACTTTCTTTCCATTTCCCGGTCGATGCATAGATATTCGACAAGAGAACGTATGTTGCTGAATCAGAATTCTCAAACTCAAGCAATCTCTGTGCCACTTTCTGTCCCAAATGAATGTTTTCATGGATCTTACAAGCACTCAGCAAAGCTCCTAGCATGATATGAATCTGCTTCAATTGGCATATTTTCCACAAAGCCATATGCTTCCTCTACTCGCCCGACACGACCAAGAAGGTCAACCATACACCCATAATGCTCGATCTGTGGTTCAACCCCGAAAACCCTACTCATAGAATTGAAAATCTCAAACCCTAGTTCCAATAAGCCTCCATGGCTACAAGCGTTCAAAACAGAAACAAAAGTCACCTGATTTGGCCTAAGAATCCCTCTGTTCACCATTTCACGGAATGTCTGAATGGCTTCAGTGCTCATTCCATGCATTGCAAACCCAGAGATCATCATGTTATACGAAACAACGTCCTTTTCTCTCATATCCCTGTACCCTGCTTTGCCTCGGAGATTTCGCCACACCTAGAGTACATATTGATCAAAGCATTACCCACGAAACCACTAAGCTCCATATTTTGGTTCGTGACAAATGAGTGAACCCATTGCCCGAGCTCCAAAGCTCCCAAATCCGAGCACGCAGATAAGACGCAGACAACAGTGACTTCGTTGGGCCGAACACTTTCCTTCTGCATTTTCCTGAAAAGCTCCAACGCCTTGTTCATCTCTCCGTTTCTGACCAATCCGTCAATCATGGCGGTCCAACATACCGTGTCTTTAGTCCTAACACTTTCAAACAGCCCTTCTGCTTCCTTTACAGAACCGTGTTCAGAATAACAGTTCATCATCACTGTCGTCGCGACCTCATCTCTCTCAGGAATTTGATCGAACAACTTCCTTGCGCTTTCCAAATGCCCGGATTTCCCATAGACCTCCATCAGTTTCATCCTTACCGATCTGTCGGACCCAAACCCAAGCTTCAAAACCTGGCCATGAATCTCTTTGCATTCCTTCAAACCACAAGCTTTCAGAACCGATGTGATCACGTAGTTATCGGGCAACACCTAACCGCTCATCAACCGATAGTACAAGGAAACTCCATCGGCGCAACGACCACACGACATCAAGCCGTCGATCATGGCGGTGTAAAGGTAAACATTAGGGTTATAGACGTAATCGAAGACCTTGCAAGCATAATCCACAGAACCGAGTCTAGAACAGACACGAATAAGCTCGAAGACAAGGAAAGCATCGTGGCGTTCAAGGAAGGTCCGAATGATCCTTGCGTGGACCAACGAGACTTGACGGATGTCTTTGCAGTTTCTCAGTAGAGAGACAAACTGCTTCCTGCGTTATAACTTGAAGGCGCTTGAATCCGGATCCCGCCGGAAAATCGGTGGTCCTCCTCCCGTGGCCGCGACAAAAGAATCCATTACCGCGCAAAATTAAAAAAAAATAGAAAAAGAATATAGAATAAAATGTGAGGACCAATACAATTTATCAGATCTTGACTTGCCGACTTCTACTGAATCACGTGATTAGCACGTGAAGTGCAAAGGCGACGCAATGAGAAAACTTATCTGGTTAATAGTAGTTAATATTAATAACAGCATAAAGCAAAACCGATTCGACTAAATAACATACAATCATAATAAAGTTGAATTCAATATTATGATTTTTTTTTTCTAAAATCGAATGTAAACAGAATCAAATTGAATAAAAATTTATAAAAAATAGGAAAAAATCATTTTTTATAAATTTACTTGTAGAATAGACATTATACCACCGAAGTCTGTTGGAGAATCATTGTCAGATCGTATAAACTTTCAATAGACAAGAAATGGGTTAAACGCTCTTACAGATAGGACGGACTTTTCTTTGCTTTTGTCCGAAATTCCATAGAGGGGAAAGTGAATGCTTTATGGTTCATTTAACGGTCACTGATCCGTCTTGCTTCAGCTTGACTAGGCTGCTCTCGATGTTTCTAAGCACGGGTTTATAACTGCAGTAACACAAATTCCGATCACAGTGATGAGATCCCTGGAGGAAAATTGAACAAGGCAAGAAGGGTTTAGTCGACTTACGAGCGGACAAGCCCGTTGAAAGCTTGTGATGTTCGTTGGAGTTGAGCTGAGAGCTGAAGAACTTGGGCGGAAAGCGCTTCTGCTCTGCTTTGTTCTTTGGCAAGTTCGCCCTGAAAAAACAACAAATGCATTCATTCATACATCTATTTGACGCATAAATCTTTATCTCCCATCTTTCGGCCCAAGGAGAATCATACTAATTTGTGTTGGGGTTGTGGGTGTAAAAACCTTGAGGGATAGAAGAAACTCAGTTCCATGTGACACATCAGCCCCAACTTCGGGTGACCCTCGTGGAACATTTTCTGTTCTTAGTTTGTCCAGAACTCCTCGGAGCTCTTCGTTATGCTTAAGACATTCTTTAACCTGAGTGGATTCGCAACAAAAACAAATAAGGGCCACAGTAGTTTTTTTCTAATGACAAAATAAAAAAAGAGCAAGCTGTGAACCACCGCTGTTTACCTGATTCTCCCACTGCTTTGATGTGTTGATTGATTCTTGATATGAAGCTGAGAGGTTAGAGTTCTCCTCAAATAGCCTCTCTATTTCAGAGGATTGGTTGTCAATCTAGATATGATACAACAAAGCCAGATCAGATTCTTCATTGTGCCAATGTTGCAGGAAGTTAAGAGAGTAATACCTCTGTTAAAAGCTTTTGCCTACTATTCTCCAATCTCTCGAGTGCAACAGCCATATCATGTAACTGTCTCTCGAGTTTTTCTTTGTCTTCCTGGTGGAAAGCATCAAACATAATGATAAGGGCAACCACACAACGTCAAAGAGAATCCATATGTAGGCAATACTGTGTGACATTAACATTTCCTACCACTGAAAACACTTTTTGACCCGATTGTTCTGTTAACTCTGCATTAACAATAACGAAAAGAAGTTATCGACATATATCAACCATAGCACATGCAGGAAAACAGCATCTATATGTCAGCTAGATTTGGCAAACTCCTGGTGATTGCAATAGCCGCTGTCCAAACTTGTTTCAAACAGAACTATGCATAACATATTACCTGGAGCACTTTTGGATGACATCGCTGCAATTTTCTGTTCCATTTTGTGCTTTTCAGACATTAGTGAAGCAACTCGGGATTGTTCTTCAGCTAATTGCTGTTGTTCTTGCCGCCTCAACCTTGTTTCATTCTGTGGAATTTTGAAACCAAATTACTGCAGAAACAATGACTCAATGAGATAAGTAAATGCATCGAACACTACTACTAAACCTGTAACTCCGATTTTAGGTTGGCCAACTCCTTCTCTAAGGATTGTATTTGATCGGGTGGAATTCCCACAGCCGACACTCCACCCAGTGAAACACTCATCCCTTGCTGCTGTATCGAGTTAAGCTCTGCTCTCAGAGATGCTGCATCTTCCTCAGCCTATCATCGGGAAGTCATAGTAAATTTGGAGAAGCAGAGAACAATGGATTAATATTTCGAAGGGGAAAGGCTGCATGGAAACTCACTCGATACTGTTCCTCCTCTGCCTCCTTAAGACGTCTCTTGAGAGTCCGAACTTGCGCTGAAAAATCCTCCTGCATAAGCAGCAGTCATACCAATCAGAACATAATCAAAGGAAAGGCTATCCTAAACGAAAGAAAGTAACATGAATTTTTCCCATACTCGTAAAACAACAGCAGCATCTTTTTCCATTGCAACTTCCTTGAGGGCTTTTCTTAGAGATGGCACAGTGTTTTGTTCCTGTTATTGAGACAAAGAACACTGTCAAGTCAAGGAATTTAGGGTTTTCTTCTGGCTGAACTGATTAGGATGTGGAAATAGAACAGTTTCACTTTATATCGAAAATTTTGGACCCTAAAAAGACACCACAAAACCAGGAATCATAGGATTAAATACAAAGGTTGAACTTTTACATACCAACTCACTCAACCGAGCTTGAAGTGTGTCATTCTCAACTTCCTTTGTTTGCAGCTGAAGCCAATATAACAGGAATGCTCATCAGCACAAGAATATTCAAAAGCTTCCTTCAATAACATTCTGCAAGCAACAGATTGGGGGAAATTCTCCATCAAAAATACCTTCAAGGACAATATTTTGTTGCTTTCATCCATTTGGGCATTCTTCTTCTGAAGTTCTTTCAATTGGGCATACACAGCACCCACATCTGTCTGCCAGAAAATTCTCACCAAAATCAGCCTTATTATGCAGAGCACAATCACATTACCAATGAAATAAAAACTCGGCAAAGACCAAAACAGAAGAGAATCCATTCAAGTTCTGTCGGTTTCATATCAATGTTGTCCCCTAGGTTTCTCACGTTAACAACAATAACAGGACCTAGAAATTCATTGATACCATCACAAAATATGCAATTCAGACATGACAGATTTCTCGAACATGTCAAGGATCAAACAGATTATCACAAATTCCATTACCGTAACTCCCAACAGAGAGAAAAAAACACAAATTGACGATATAACAAACCAGAAATACAACAGGATAAATAAATGTCGTACCTCAGAGAGTCGATTCACGCTCTCGGATTTTCTAATTTCTGCAACGTCTGTGGCGCATTGCAGTTGAGACCAACATTAACTAACAAAGACAACTGATCAAAATTGAGAAGCGCATGAAATAAGAGACAAAATTACCGGCGGCAATGGGAATTTTGCTAAGATCCGGTCCCGAAGAAGCTTTGCTCAACCTCTCAGCCGCTCTCTTCTGACGAATCTCCTCCAACTGTAAGATCACATGAACGAACATTAGAGAAACAAACAGAAAATTCTAAGAGACGATCACGAGAGGACGAATCTGAAAACGATGCAACAGATGAAGAAGTTGGAGACGGCGGCGCCGGATATACATACAGTCCGGCGACCAAGAGATGCGTGACGCGAGTCCATGGTAAGACCCCGACGAAGTCCGCACCTGATGATTCCCCCTCGCTCTCTACCTCTCTGTCTCTCCTCGGAAATCTAAATCTCGATTCTGGGTTTCATGGTGGCTGACGGTGGGAGACGACCAGCCGGCAACCAACTGGGATTTCTGAATATGGGCCTACGAAAAGCCATAGAGGCCTATATTACTAGAACCGTGTGTAGCCCATCTCGTTACTATTTTATTTCAACCTTTACACATATTTAGAAAACGGGCGTATAAAATTACGATCAAACATTTTTTTTAATTAGTAAATTTTTGAATTTTTAAATTATCTGAAAATGAACTTTTTAGAAAAAATATCGATAACTCGCAAGACCGCTATTGTCTATTAGCATGCGCGAAAATACCAATTAATGTATTCTTTTCCAAGTTTGCTAAAATTTATTATAAACTTTTGGAAAGAAAACAAAAAGCTAAAATTGCTATGCTATAATTGTTATATTAAAAAATTTTAAATTAATTGTGAAAAAAAAATTATATTAATTATCACTTAATGCACTACAAAACAGTTTTAAATCCCTTACGTATATTCACAAATCACCTTCGCGATCTTAGTTAATACAAAGGTAAATTTAAAACGGGAAAACAAGTTACTCATTTAGACATTACATTGCATTACATAATCGTATTATATATAAATGGATTCGCAAACAACGTTAAGGGGTAAACTCTGTTAATTGAAGTTCACCGTCCGGGTCCGGGTCCGGGTTGACTCGTTCCCTCCCGGTCAATCAAAACCCTCAGTTTCATAAAGAAGGGCAAAACCAAAGCTAAGACAAGTCGGGGAAGAAAAAAGAACTACATGTCTCTCCGAAGATCAACAACAACGACACTGACGTTGTCGGAGCTGTGTCCGGCCAATGCCAGTTTCACCAGCAACATTGACGCCTCCGTGCACGCCCTGTCCGATTCCACGTCCCCAGTCTCGGCCGCAACCTCAACCGCTTCACACGGTGGCCATGGCCGTGGCCGAGCCCTTCTCTTCCCTCTCAAGCACATGCGGGCCACCCCGCAAGCGGTTTCGTTCGAGACCACGTCCCAAAGGCCGTCGCTCGCAAGTATCAAGAAGTCATCGTCCGCCGTTCGCTCTGATACCGTCACCTCCGGTTTGCATATCACGTAAGGTTTCAAGTAGTTGTCGCCTGTAAATCATGGAGAGAGAGAGAAAGAGATTGTAAGTTGTAACACTGTCCGGGCCGGGCCCTTTATACGTTCGGCTAGAGCGGCTAAGGTAAGGATGTAAACTTTAAAATACCAATGGCTCGTGACATTGCAAGGACTCCAAGGACGCGTGGTCCGTCCCAGTAGATAACCCGGCCGCCGCTGGCCTCGATTCTTTCCAGCTCATCCGGCCGGTCCGGCTGTTCATATACAAGATCCAGTGTTATCTTCACGTAAGATTTTGCAGCGAGAACATGAACATTTCGCAGGGAGTAGAACTCCATGAGAGAAAATATTGAACCTTGTGGTCGAAAGACAGAGGGATGGCCTTTCCGTTACGGCAGAGGACGGCGCGGGAGTCGCCGCAGTTAGCGACAACGATCTTGTCCGGCGTGAGGACGGCCACGACGGCGGCGGAGCCGACGGCGTCGCAGTCCGGCGTTTGGAGCTCGCACCGGCAGTTAGCGGCCACGGCCTCGCTCTCGCTCAACGCCACAACCTCCTTATCCATGCGCGTGAAGCTACGCTCCATCGCGCCTTCCCAGTCCGCTTCCATCTCATCCAGCTCCTCCCGAACCAGCTCGTGTAGCCTTTCTCTACACCTCATCGCCACCTTCACCGCCAAAACAAAATTACAAAGGAGAAAGAAAATAACCAAAATGACGTCGGAGGGGCAAAGAAAAGGAGGGAAAAGGGAGGGAAACGGCGTCGTACGTGGGAGCAGCCATGGCCGTCGTAAACACCGCAGAAAAGGAATCCGGCGGCCGAATATTCCGCTCGTGGACGGAAGATGAACTGGTGTACCGCAACGGCGTCTTCCATGTCTCGTCTTCTTCCGCAGGCCGAAGCGACGCCGTATTTGGGGCACACCCCCGTATCAGGAAATGCCAAAAAATTCGGGCCCCGAAAGTCGCACAAAACGGCCATCGCCGTTTCAGGCACCGTCTTCCCATCCTTCGAAAACTCCAAGTGATCGCACTCCTCGTCCTCACAGACCCGACACAACACGGCTGCAGCGCAGGTAGCCTCTCGTCTCCGCCCCTTCTGACCGCCGTCATCTTGTCCCGCCGTCGGCTCCGGCGAAGGAATGCTCGATACAAACTTAAACCGCCGGATCTCCATTCTCCGCCGCCGCGCCGCCCTCGACGAGCTCCGTTCACGCCTGGACTTTGACGGCTGCGCCACCGTCACCTCCTTCGCTGGCTCGTTCTCGCTCACGACGGCACAGCAAATCTCCGCCACGCGATGATCTGAATCCATCAACATTCGAACTTCATCACTCCCCGAGATGAAGCTCGAGAAACAGTAAAGAAGAGAAAGAGAGGGAGAGAAAGGGTACGGGAGCTGTGGAGGAGAAGCTTTATATCAGTAGATGCTTCTTCCATATAGAAGCTCATTTTCTTTTTTCCTTTTTATTTTTCCGTCGTGGTTAAAATTTCTGGGGGAACAAAAAGGGAAGGAAGACGAAGATGAAGGGTTGTTGAATGGCGTGATGCAGCTCTACTCTAATCTGGACCGTCGATCTCACCACGTGTATACACGTACCCATCTCTAGGATACGGAGATTACGTGGACCAATGAGATTCCAACACCGCAGCTCAAAAGGAAAGGAACCTTTCATAACACGCATGCGATCTCTCAGATTTCCGAATTTAATTTCCCCTCCAAGACCAAACCACCTTCACTATCATTAGACATTATTTAAATTTTGTATATGAACCATATAAAATCGACTGAAATTTCTGCATTGCTTATTTTGTTGGCGTAGAAAAATACGGCGCCTGTGGTATTGGAACCAAATTCGGAAAACCAAAATTTCCATTTTTGGTCCTATTAAATCTAAATATTTTGAGAAAGAAAAAAAAAACAGGTGTCGAGATCTAGTGGAGTCTGCAGGGATTTCTTTTTTTTTTGAAACTCGAAAAATCTTATATGGATAAAAAAATTCAAACTTTGTGTGATGTGGCCCAATGAAATGGGGGTACGTAGGAGGGGTTGATGTGGACAAGCGGGCCACCTGTTCTGGAATGTTCGGAACCGCATCCAATCGCCGACACGTGTCCAAACCATAGACTGTCTGGTCTTGGATACTTTGTTCCTCGATATTTCTGTGGGCCGTACCACCTTTTTTTTTTTTTTACTTCGATTGTTTTCTGTTGCAAATTTGGTGAAATTCATATCCTATAATTGGTTGTCATTGTTGTTGTCTTAAAATTTGAAGGAGTAACTATGGAAATTAGATTTAAATACTACAATCTAAATCCATAAGCCGAATATGGACGGTCCAAAAACAATAACGAAACCATAATTTCTCTAAAATATTACATGAAACTAAGCCGGACATTCATTTTAGTTGGCCTTTTTGTAACTATTTCCTCCCTCCTTCTATAACGCATAAATCGCATTGCATCGAAAGCATTTATACATACAGAGTTTACTTGTAAATAGATGACATACAGGTACAAACAGATTCATCGGTATGTTATAATTCAAATTGAAAAATAATAATAATTTGACAACTTTTACCAAAAACAAATTATTAATTTGACAGAATTAAATATAAACCCTAAAAGCGGCAATTGATTGGAATACTTTCCGAACTCCTGCGGAAATATGATGATTCCGACTTTGGGATAGGGACACGTTTCGGCCGCGTGTTGAACTTGTATTGCTATATGTAAAATTACGTATATGCGCCCGCTACGACTCTATAATCACAATCCTGCCCGGGGAGATCGCCATGTAATTAATAATTATTATTAAAATCTCCAAATTCTGAGTTGAATTATCCTCTTAATTATGATCATTAAAATTTCACAGGTGGTGAAGTAACTCGTTACTCGGTATATACATATTGTAGGGAAGTATCTGTTATAATACATATTAAGCTTTTTCACTAAATCGTTGATTAATAGACCATTTATATACATTACACAATGGAGAAAATAACTATTTAAAAATATAAAAATATAACTATTTTTTACTTCAATTCAAACACATCATGAGTGATGAAATATATTAGTTTTTCTTTTTTTAAAATCACACGTTTCTCAGCGCTCAACACAATTCAAACTGCCACATGCTGAATTATAAGAAAAAAATTCCCATGGGACGTGGCCGCAGATAATAGGATGACGTGTTGACGAACGTTTGTGGGTCCCATGAAGGAACAAAAATAAACGAAGCGCGTGTAAGACATACGCCACGTGTCGGAGAAAGCTGTCTGGTACTTTGCAATTGCTCTGCGCCACGTGAAAGGCTTTGATATTTTTTTTTTAAATCCCCTAACATCTCAAATATCGTAAATTACAAAAACAACCTTTCCTTACAAAATTGAATACTCACAGATCACCAAAAATAATATTACAAAACAAACCAAATCATCTCACGGTTTATTGAACCATGGTTAGTTTTTTTTTATTGAACCATGGTTAGTTTAGTTAACCAGAATTAATGCTAAAGAGATTCTGGTTTGATTTGTTCCTTGGAGTTTGAAACTTGTCCTAATCTCGTCAGCTAGAAGGTCCACATCATCACACCAATGTTATAAAGATCTGAAATCAAATGCAACAATATTATAATTTTTTTAAAATTTAATTATAGAGCTTTCCCTAATATTTTTATAAAAACAATATGATATTATGCATTAACAAAAAAAATGCAATATGATATTATGTTTGAACGTTTAATGATCTTATTATATTTCGGTCAAGATATTATGCTAGTTAGATATTTTAAATATTTTTTCTCGAAGATGTGATGTATGGGTCGTTAGATGATTATAAAAATTGAAATAACGATCCAAATATATATCAAACAAACTAATTGGTCGGGGTCTAGGTCAAACTTTTGCTTAAGCAGATACGTGTCAGATGTAAGCCCCATGTTGCAATCGAAGGTTGTAATTTCGCCACGTGTACAATTAACAGTTGGCGATCACCACCTTTTTTTTGTTTCCCTAATTGTTTTCATGTGCCATTTATTTATTTATTTCAGTATTAAATACTAATTGCATGTTGCAAAAGAGCATCTGAAAAAGGACATAAACATATTCACAATTTTTACGGAACAGATTTTTCGAGACAAAAAGAAAAAAACAGAATGCTTATACTAAAATATTTTATAGAAAAAAAAAATTATAAAGCAAATTCATATAGATATATAATAAAGTATTAATTAGACTAATGGCCATCCTCCAGTTCGTTAAACTTATGGATTTTTTAAACGGCACTTCGCGTTATGGTTCTGAAATTAGGATTGTCTTGACATTTCTAATGTGTGGATTTAAGTAAAAACCCATTGGTTTTAATATTTTTATTTAATTAGTTTTATCAATGATAATAATAAAAAAATTAATCCTATTCCGAATAATTACTATATAATTGAAATTCTCACTTATTTATTCTCTCACGCAACTACAAGTTTTATCGTATTATTAGCAAATAAACAAATAAAAATCGTTCCACCACGTGTTTCTTGATTATTAATGGAGCAACGGTCCAAATAATCTGCATGCATTTACTTAATTTTGTACCAATGCTTCTTATTTCCGCCACGACAGAGAATATATACGTGTCCGTCGATTGAAAAAATTAAAGCGAAAAAGAAAAAGCTCACGTTCCGCCTCCAATTTCAAAATAAAAAAGTAACTAATTGAGCAAATTAAGAATTAAAAGAAAAACTCGATAGATCACGAAACAAACTTAAGTCCACATCCGAGATTAACTTTTTAATTAGAAAAATATTTATTTATAGAATACAAATTCTCTATATATATGTATAGATTGAAAAAACACAATGTAATACATAAATCAGCTCTGTGATTTCAATTTTTATTTCTAATTATCTTGGAAATCAGCATGTATATATATATATGCATATAATTTGATTATATTAGTCACAGATGAGTTTTTTCTTATCACCCATCACTCGGAGCTAAACAAATAATATTATGATGGTCGAATATTTTAAAATATAAAATAATAATTTTAATATTTACGATTGAATTGATTGAACGGGACAGTTACAGAACCAAAACGATCACACTCTTGTCAATGGCTTCTTCCCGTTTCTTGCTGAATCTCGCTATCCCTTCTGTTTCGATCCAAACGCAGTAGTGACCGCCGGTTTTGATTTCGCGTTTGCGTTTGCTCTCCACCACGGCTTTCTCAAGTCCCCCGTGGCGTCCTGAACCGCGGCTCCGATCTGCGTTTGCTCCTCGAGCTTTTTTGGTAAAGTTTGACCCGGTGGGATTCGAACTGGGGTGGTTTGGGAGCACTTTGTGCTGCCCAACCACCAGGCCACCCCACCACTCGGGTTACTCCTCGAGCTTTCCGCGGCCTATATATATATATATATATATATATATATATAATCCAAATATATATCAAACAAACTAATTGGTCGGGGTCTAGGTTTTTTTGTTCTTCTTCCCCCTTTGCTCCTTTTCGAAATCCCTGGACTCGAACCTCGCTCAGTGTTTTCTCACCTGAAAGATTTCCCGAGAAAATCTTCTTATTTTCAGGGAAAGTTCATTTGAAACTAGAATAATTTTCTTCTTCTTCTTCTTCTCCCAAAGGGCGGACGTCACACTCGAAAGAAACCGTTCTCTGTGATATGTTGTCATGTTCGATTGATCATCCACTGTGTTCATCATCGGTTACATTGAGTTCTTTCTTTAGAAAACATCCACAAACTCATTCCCCGACAAAGATCCTGTGAGATGAGAGGAGGCAAGACTGTCGACTGTCTTGTCCACTATTAATGTTTCAACAAGTTTGGATCTTTTCTTCATCTACAAGAAAGCATAACTCTTTTTTCCCAAGAAAAAGGGAGAATCTAGCCCTTGCTGCCAACTCCTCCCAAAAACTCTTGGGCTTTTCCCAGTTCTTGAACTCTTCTTGAACATCCCTGAAGACATCCCCTGTCACAGCCATAACACAAGAGAATGACCCGAAAACGGACGGGATTAATTTGAATGTGTAGGACTTGAAGCGTAGTTGAACACCGTTTAAAAAATCTTGTGGTCAATCCAAAAAAGATGACAAAGGAGAAGAGACAACATTGCTGAACTCAAACTTTGATCCTCATCCATGAACAGATTTCCGATCATACACCGTTTGTGTCGGTTATCTTCGACTGATTCCTTCGTCGAGGTTATGGGAACCAGCGGTCATGATGGGCTGCTGCAACGAGAAAGAGCACTTCATGCTCACCTCGTGACGTCCGGGCTTGTCCGTTCGACGGGCATAGCCGGAAAGCTTGTGGCTTTTTACGTCGAGTGTGGGGAGTTAGTTGACGCCAGGAAGATGTTCGATGAAATGCCCGAAAGAGGCATCAGTCGTTGGGTTGTGATGATTGGGGCATGTGCTCGAAATGGGCATTATCAGGAAGCCTTGGGGGTTTTCCGAGAAATGCAAAGAGAATGTTTAAAACTGGATGCTTTTGTGATTCCTAGTGTGCTTAAAGCCAGTGGCAATCTGCTTGACCAAAAATCTGGGAAGATGATACATTGCCAGGTCTTCAAGTGTTCATTTGACTCTGATGCTTTTGTAGTTAGTTCACTGATTGATATGTACTCGAAATGTGGTGAGGTGGACGCTGCAAGGGACGTATTCAATGGTTTGGCTGAAAAGGATTTGGTGGTCTTGAATGCTATGATTTCGGGCTATGCTCAAAACAGACGCACAGTAGAAGGGTTGAGCTTGGTGAAGGAAATGAAGAAATTGGATATAAATCCTGATATCATCACTTGGAATGCTTTAATCTCAGGTTTTGCACAGATGGGTGATGAAGATGGAGTGTCTGAGATTCTTAGATTGATGTGTCTGGATGGGCACAAACCAGACATTGTGTCCTGGACTTCAATTATATCCGGTCTTGTACAGAATTTCCAGAATGAGCGGGCTTTCGACGCTTTCAGACAGATGTTGAGTCATGGGTTGTGTCCAAATTCAGCTACGATTAGTAGTCTTTTGCCTGCTTGTGCGACGCTCGCAAATATTAGGCTCGGAAAGGAGATCCACGGTTATTCGATAGTCACCGGACTGGAAGACCATGGTTTTGTCCGAAGTGCTCTGCTTGACATGTACGCGAAATGCGGATCCATATCAGAAGCAAGGATCTTATTCTCCAAAACGCGTAAGAAGAGCACGGTTACTTTCAACTCGATGATCTTTGGATATGCAAATCACGGGCTATCTGAGGAAGCGATTGAGCTTTTCAATCAGATGGAAGCCGAAAGAGAGAAACTCGATCACTTAACATTCACAGCTGTCCTCACAGCCTGCAGCCATGCCGGATTAACTGATCTTGGGGAAAGGCTGTTCCTTGATATGCAGAGCAACTACAGGATTGAACCAAGGCTGGAACACTACGCTTGTATGGTGGATCTTCTTGGCCGGGCAGGGAAGCTTGTCGAGGCTTATGAGATGATCAAGGCTATGCCAATGGAGCCAGATCTGTTTGTGTGGGGAGCTCTATTGGGTGCATGTAGGAACCATCAGAACATCGAGCTCGCACAGATTGCAGCCAAGCACTTGGCAGAGCTCGAGCCTGCGAGTCTCGGGAACGGTTTGCTGCTGTCGAGCGTTTATGCTGGTTTTGGTAGTTGGGAAAGCGTGGCGAGAGTGAAAAAGATGCTGAAGCGGAAGAGATTAAGAAGGTTTCCGGGGAGCAGCTGGATCGAAACTGTGTGATCTGAATTGTGATTGAATGAACAGATTCATCTCATCTTCAGTTTATGCTTGTTGTGGGTGAAATCCTTGCTTATGAATGGTTAAGATGGATGGCACAATTGCCAGATCACTTTTCAATTGAAGGGTTTATCCGTAGCCAGTTGCTCAGATTTGAGTTCAAGCTTATATGCGTCTGAATTCAAGATTGTTGAAGCAAAGAGGTAATGACAGACATCTCATGCGTCATCTACAGAGCACTTCAAGATTGGAGTATTTGTCTTTCAGCATTTGGGCAGACAGACACAATTACCTGAACTATTTATAACGGAGCAGCTGGTTCTCGAGTTACATCCCCTCAGGTACAGCAAGTACAAGGACCTACCCGGAGATTCTCTCTTCTTACCCTTTCAACATTCTGTTGAATGTGATCAATAATGGTGAAGGAAAACACTAAACAGGTCTCAAAAGCAAGAATCCTATGGCTAAAACCAGCCACCTTTCGTGTGCAAATATCTTAGCTGTATGTATTGTATTGTTCACACGCTCCAGCAAAAAGACATATGTAAAGTATCTTAGCTTTTGTTGGAACGTCTCTTTCTTCCTTTTGTAGAGTGGCCCTCCAACATAGTGAAAGGTCATTTGCTCTCTTGTGGTTTCCAAAACACAAAAGATTGCAGTGTGGATAATATTGTATATAATGGGAGGAATTCTTTGAACCATTGGATGGAGTTTTATGCTCAAACGGTTCCATATCATGAATAGTCAGTTACCAAACTGTGCAAATTAGAGATTTTACCTTGCGAAATCAAAGCTTTTTCCATTCAGAGAAGCTCCAAAAGCACGTCAAAATGCCCATTGCGATCACTAGGTCGCCCCCCGTGCAATGTATCAGAATTCTCCAAGAATACTGATGGGTTTTGCTTCCACACGATTCTGCAATCAGATTTACGTGGAAAAACCCAACAAAAACTAAACTTCTTGACGGATGTGGCAGATGCGGAAAGGGAACCAGAGGACAAGAACCTGTAACCATATTCAGATAAGATTTTAAGGCTTGCATGCATAGTTGCTAGCCTTTTCAGACTGTATCAATTCAATGAACAGATTATTATATATCAGCTCTAAAACTCAGCACTCAGTAGAAAAAGCTCGAAACCGGTGAAATTGAGTAGCAGAGGAACAAAAGTTCAATACTTTATTACCGAGGATGAATTCAGTTCCACGAGCTAAACAAGCTCACCTATCTCTCTCCACCGCTGCCGACAGAAGGGTATGACGCCATGGATCCATACTTATTGCCGGACCAGTCTTTCTGCTGCATCATATATGTATTTGATTCAAATACACCAGGGCCTCCAGTTCCATGATGATAGTGATCATGACCATGATTATGATGAAGTTGATGGTGATGGTGATATTCCTGCATACCCATATGCCCATAGACCGGCATCGGCATCACCTGCGGTGGCGCTCCGTACATCACCGGGATCGACGAGCCTGCCTGCCCGGCTGCTCCGTTGGCCTGGAGGCCACCGCCACCGCCGTGGAAGCTCTGTAGAGGCACAGGCGTCGATGAGAAGAGATGGTCAGAGGACGAAGGATCCTCCGTCGTCAACCCCTGCATCCGCTTGAGGTATAACCTGTACTTCTGCAGGTGAGACGCGACGTTCTCGCGAGTCAGACCTTCCACGTTCATCAGCTGCATGATCGTCTTCGGCACGGCGTTTTTGATTCCCAAGTGAGCCACCACGTCCACGAATCTTTTGTGCAGCTGCGGTGTCCATACCAGACGCGTCCTCTTCAACGTCCTCGCAGACGGTTCCTCTGTTCCCGAATCCGCCTCCTCCGCCGTGGCTCCGCCGACGCAATCGGATTTCTTCTGCTTCTTTGGATCAGATCCGACGCAGCTCGACCCGACCTGATCCTCCTCCTCCGGCGCGATCGTCGTTTTGAAGCTGTTACTGTTGTTGTTCGAGGAAGAGGCGCGGGCTCCGGTGGAACCGTAGCACAGCGCCGAGAGCATGGTCTGCGACACGCGATTCACATCCTGGATCGTACGGCTCCGCTCAGGGGAGACACTGAAAGCCAACGCGAGCTCCGGCGGGACCAACGGCTGAGACAGCGGAGTCAAATCCTCGCACCTGGGGAGGCCCATCTCCCACTCCAGAACCCTATCCTCGTCGCCGCTGCTGTCTTCGTTTTCGTCTCCGTCGTCTGGAAACTCATACTCCGTCATCTTCACTTCCTCTCCCATTTTTCCCACTTTTTTCCAGAATTTCTTCACAGATTGAGGACTCAGAGACAAAATAGGTGAGATTTCGGATCAGAGGTAGGAGAAGCACGGTAGATAATTCGCAGACCGCTGTTTGGAGGGCGAGAAAATTCTATACTTTTCCCGGGAAAAAGAAAAAGATAGAGAAAAAGTGAAATATCTAATTGCAGAATCCAGATCGGCCCTCCAACGTGGACGAGTTAACAAGATATTTTTCTTAAGACGTATGCTACCCAAAAATCTGCTCGATCTAGATTATTGACACGTGTCTATCTACCAATCATCTGATGAAACATCACAATAACATTTGCTACGCGAGTACTCACGCCTGTAGCTGATCAGGCAACTGCAGGAAGGAGGCCAGGTTAGGAAGGAACCCCTAACTCAAGGAAATACCGAAACTACCCCTGGTGGGCCCAACATGAAAAGCGGGCAAAAATTGGGCTAGGTGCGGGCCAATAGGGGAACAGATTGTTTCTATTTGTTTCTATTTCTTTCTTATTTTGTTCCTTGTAATATAATATATGTTGAATATACTGAAATTTTTTATAATATAAGTAGAAAGTCTATATATTATTGTTAAATCATATTATATGGTATATCTCCATTTCTTATTCGTGATAAACTCAAAGAAGGCCTTATTCGAACAATGTATGTGAAGAGTGTGAATCAGTTTGGAGATATGTTTACAGTCGACATTGTTCCATTCGTTTTTGCAGAAGTTACAAGTTTCGAATTTATATCTTCCTTCACATGGATATAAATTTGAGGAGGGTGTGTTAAAATATACAAACAAAAGTTTTGTAAAACAGAATCATTTATGTTACACTTCTTTTGGTACTAGATATGCAAACCAAATATGTTACGATTTTGTTATTGAGATAGTGTGTATGTATGTTGTATATAAATCACAGTAGAGGAGAAAAAATGATCTATCGAAAAATTAATACAAGAGTGTTTTTGCTACTTTCTCTCTCTTTGTTTTTATTTACTTTTTTTGTTTTTCTCTCACTTTCACCGTTCTCAGACACCTTTTTCGTCAGATCTAAAATCTTCATTTCTTAGTTTTGTTTTAACTTATTTATGTATTTTGATTTTTGTAAACTGCAGATGTCTTCTTCTATAACTGAAAATTTAGGGGCAGTGAAAGTTTTATCTTAAACAAATACACCAATTGTTTCTATATCGGTGAGTTGTATAAGAAATGAAGATGTGTCTAATGATAATAAGGTACCATTATCCCCTAAACCTAAGTGGGAGGCTTGGAATCATTTAAAAAAAATATTGAAGGAAAAAAGCTATATGTAACTATTGTGGTGGTCAAATTAGTTGCACGATGACCACAGGTACACCAACAACTACTATATATTGAAACACTTGAGGGTTTGCAAAAAAAAATGATTTTTGAAAAGGATAGTTATGATGTACAAAATTCCAAAATATTCAAACAAACGACTTTGTTTCATCAACCGAGAAGTGATCATTCTATAGGGGTTTCTTCATTTATAACATTTAATCAAGAAGAATGTCATAAATTTCTAGTCAATTTTTTCATAATCGATGGACAACCATTTAAATTGATTGAAGGATAGAGATTTCGACTTTTGGTGAATGTGTTTCAACTTCGATTTGTTATACCATCGAAAATGACAATAACTAGAGATTGCATGAGTTTGTTTTTAGAGAAAAAGAATGTGTTGCGTGATTTTTTCAAAAAAACACAACAGAAGTGTTACTCTCACAACGGATATTTGGATATCTGTTCAAAACATAAACTACATGTATTTAACGATGCACTATATTGATAGTGAATGGAATTTGTATAAAAAGATTATCAACTTTTGACTAATGTCTAGTCATGAGGAGAAGCAATTGAGGTGTGAGGCAAATGCTAATGAGGCAACACTGCAATACTTGAAAAAGTGGTTTAAGACATGGGAAAAAAGTATCTTAGATACTGAGTTTTTGCATATGAGGTGTGGGGTTCATATTTTGGGTTTGGTTAAAAGATGGTTTGAACGACATAGCATGATTTTATTTGTCGTATTCGTTTGACAATTCGTTACATGAGATCTTCATTGAAGAGAGTTGATAAATTTAAGAAATGTTTGGAACAATCAAAGTACAAAATCTAAAGTTTGTTTGGATGTAGAAACTTAATGGAATTCTATATATTTGATGTTGAAATCAACATTAAAACTTAAGAAGGCTTTTGATCATCTTGAGTGTGAAGATGAAACATATGTCAAAGAATTTTCAAAGAATAAATATGGTCTGACAAGAGAAGATGATTGGATTTATGCTCAGTCTTTTCTACTTACTTTGAAGTATTTCTATTATGTGATTTTGAAAATCTCGGGTTCCCGTTATGTTACCAGAAGTGAGCATACGAAATAAATATTTAGTTTGGGGGTATCGAATTAAACAATTGCTTAAAATATAGTGATGAAGTAAGAGATCCATGGCTAAGAGGATGAGGATGAGTTTGATAAGTATTGATACTCAGATAGTTATGCATTCTTGGTCTTCGATATGTAAGTTTAAGTATGTTATTTAGATGAATTGTGAAAGTTATGATGATAATGAGAAAGTTGATAAGGTGATTGGAAAGTTTAATTTAGCATTGAAAAGATTTTCTTCATTCTAAGTGTGGACAACCATCTAGTATTCAAATTGAACCAAATGCTGATTTAGATGGTGGGGATGATGAGACGATTAGTGATGAGTTTATAGACTTATAATTTGAGGGCTATGCAAAAGGTAGTGAAGATGTGGTAATGAAGAGTGAGTTGGAAAAATATTTTATCGAATGAACATGAAAAATCAAAAGATAATTTTGATATTTTTATCTTGGTGGAAAGCAGTGCTAAATATTCTATTCTTTCTCACATGACAAATGATGTTTTGATTATATCGGTATCAACCGTTGCGTCAAAATCTGCTTTTTAACACAGATGGTTATGTTATTGATCCATTTCGTAGTTTTCTTATACTGCAACAAGTTAAAACTTTGATTTGTACTCAAGATTGGTTACGGTCAGATTATGGACAGACAACACTAGAAGAATCATTAAAAGAGCTTGCAAATTTTGAATAAGGTATGTTGTGATAATATATACACACATATATATATATATATATATATATATATATATATACACGAATGTGAGCATTTCAATTAATACATTATTTTATTTTTGTAGATTTTTTGGTGTCTAAAGTTGGTGAAAATTCTACGGTGATAGAAAAATGATATGATTCGGAATGAAATGGTAATCGAATGATATATACTAGTAATATGTATGACATATGTTGGATTATGAATTTATTGAATTATGTTTTTTTAACTGTGAATGATGTAGAAGAAGATACTCATGATGGATGATATAAAGAATGTTTTTTGGCTATCAATCATTCTCCTTTGGATGATGTAATCGTTTTTCTTTTTATTTTTGTTGGTATGAAACTATCATTTAAAAACATTTTTATTTTGGACATAGAGTGTGACTGGTGGTAATGCAATCGCCCGCAATCGCAGCGATTGCGACTTCTGGCGATTACGGGTGATTGAAAAAGTGATTGCTTGAATCGTAATCGCCCGTAATCGCAACAAAACATCAATATTCTAATCGCAGCTAAAAGATTGCGTTACAATAGCGTTTTGCAGCGTTTTGATTAAATGACCAAAATACCCCTAATATTAATTAATATATATACATACATATCATATTATATATATAAAGAACTTACGTATGTTTATATATACATAAAATATATAAATACATATATATAATACATATATATATATATACACACATACATACATATATACATACAAACATACATATATATACACAAACAATCATATATACATACATACATCTATATATACGTACACATACATACATATACTATACACATACATACCTATATACACACACGTATATATATAAACATATACATACATACATATATACACACATATATACATACATACATACATATATACACACACATACATGCATACATACAAACATACATACACATATATACATACATACATATATACACATATATATACACAAACAATCATATATACATACATACATCTATATACACATAAACATACATACATATATATACACATATATACATACATATATATATACACATGCATACATATATACACATATACATATATAAATATATATATACATACGTACATATACATATATATACACATACATATACATACATGCATACATATATACACACATATATATATATATACATACACACATATATATACATACATATATACACACATACATATATATACATATATATATACATACATATACATATATAGACATATATATATACATATATTTATATACTTAATACATATATACATACATAAATTAAAAAAATATATTAATAATTTTGTTTGGTATATATTATGTTTGATATTGTTTGGTTTTACCAATAAATATTTTTAATATTAAAATTATCTTTGAAAATAAATTAAAATAATAACAAAATAATATTTTCAATTTTATAATTAATTATTTATAAATTTAATAATTATTTGATATTAAATAATAGTAAAAAAACTAATTAAAAATATTTTAAAAATGGTTAGTATTGTATATAATGATGTATTTTTTTGTAATTTAAGTCAAATCGCAATCGCAATCGCTGTCAACCAATCGTTTTAAATCACAATCACTCGCAATCGCTACCAACAACAGTTTTTTTACCAGTCAGTACCAATCGCCTAGAATCACCAGCAAACGCATCGTAAACGCCCGCAATCACCGCGATTGCGATTGCGATTCCACCAGTCAACACCATAATGTTTTTGTTGATAGTATAGATCGTGCACATGTGTCTGAGAAAGATAGATAAAATTTTCAATTGAAATATATTTAAAACCATCGGGTTTGGGTATCTGCGGATACCTAAAAATTGTCATAATATAATTCGGATATTCGGTTTCGAGTTTAGGTTTTGAAATGCATAACCCATCGGATTCAGATTCGGATATCCTAAAAATCTCGAGTATTTGACTCGGACCCTTATGGAAGAGATAGAGATGTAAATCGAGTTTGCCTGACCCGAACCCACACTCGATCTGAGAGTTTTGGATTCGTATTCATGCTGATCCAATTTTTTTTTTATCTAAATAACGAAACGTGACCCTATAGAGTTCAGATTTGCATTCCGAGGGAGTTTGATAAAAATAAATAAATTTGTTCTTTAAAATTTAGGGAAAAACTCTAAAAAATTTCTAAACTTGAAATTTGGTGGAATAATAATTCTTGAACTTGTAAGTATGCGTATTTATTCCCGAACTTGTATTTTTGAATATAGTAATTACTAAATTTGCGTAATAGTTTTATAATCATCCTTACCACTAATTGACCAAAATAATGAATTGACCAGTCTTAGGTGACGCGTGATATATCGAGACAAGTCAATAATGAGGTACCACGTAAAAAGAACTGGTCTATTAGACCGGGTCTCGGTTCATAGATAAATCGGTGAATTGGTCCACGAGCCGGCTCGCTCGTTTTGCATCCTAGTTTCACTCATGATGGCATGGCAGGGACAAGGAATCTTATGTGGCTGACACGTCATATCCTTAGCCTTTGGGCCCACATCACTTCGTTATTCAAAAAAAAAAAACCAACAAAAAATATTCTGCATGTGTATATTATCTTCCATCTAAAGCGGAACTGAATTCACCGTATCTTGTGCTTCAACTAGTACTTTTTTTTTTTCAAGGACAGTGTATCTATATTTTTTTAAGCATAATATGCAAATAAAATATAAATAAAAGATTGGATACATCAATAACCATGATAAACAATATCAAATTATTAAAGAAAATAATACATGTGGCACATATCAGTTTCATGTACACAAATAAAGTAACATCCGCCAGCACAAGAAACGAGGGACTGCATTCTCTTCAATTTTCATATCGCCAAAAAACTCACATGAAAAAACTCTAAGCTTTTTTATTTATCAATGGAACTCTATACTTAGTATAATTAATATATAAAACTTTAAACTTTTTAAAAATTTAACATAATTATGATGATATGTGCATGATTCGAAAACCATGTCATTGACATATCATCATTTTTGTTTGAGTTAACAGACGTACAGATTTTTGGTAAATTTTTAAAAAATTCGAGGTTTTATAGATTAATCACATCAAATATAATATTTAGTCGGTAAACAAAAAAGTATAAATTTTTTTCGTTGATATGAGAAGAGTACAAAGTTTTTTTGACGATTTTCTCTTTTAATAAATTATAATAATAATAACATCATATGAAAGAAAATTCATTATTTTTCTAATTTTAAATGGTTTTAAAATAACATATGGTGTAATATTTTGGAAATCATGGTGTCTCAGTTTCATGAACGCTGACTTTATGGGAAAGTGTTATGACTTGAAAAAGATTTGGTCAAAACGGTGTCGTCCCTTAAAAGCCCCGAAAACGGTGCCGTTCAGTGACGTCGGTCCCGCAAACACAAACCAGGCGGTCCTTTTGAATTTTCTCCGACACGGCGTCCCACGCACGGTCAAACATCTAACACGCCTGACGCTCCTACTCCTTAACCACCGTCAATAAATCCGTCATCTTCAACCCAATTATAACACGCCACGTGTTAATCTTCCGTCTAATCTGACGCCGTTAATCGCGCGTTATAAAATCACGTTTTCTTCCTCCCTCACCCAGACCCAGAGGTCTTTCTCTGCGTTTCTTCTTCAGATCCAACTCCGCTCAATCGGATAATTTAGAAATGCCGTCGATGACGATGACGACGGCTGCGACTGTGACGATGCCGTATTGGTGCTACAGCTGCACGCGCTTCGTCAATGTTTCGTCCGACCAAGACGGAGCCGACGGTGGTAGCGGCGGCGGCGTTTCGTGTCCGCACTGCGACGGCGGTTTCATCGAGGAGATCGAGGACTCTGCCGCGGCTGCTGCTGCTGCTTCTGAAGTGAGATCGGTCAATCACCCCCGCAGATCTGTGATTCGACGCCGGAGATCCAGTCGCCGTCCGTCGTTTAACCCGGTCATCGTCCTCCAAGGCGGCGGCGAGAGGGATAGCGGAGAACAAGAAGACGGTGCTTTGGACCGTCGCGCTTTTGAGTTTTACTACGATGACGGATCCGGGTCGGGCCTCAGACCGCTCCCGGATTCTGTGTCCGAGATATTGATGGGATCGGGCTTCGAGCGATTGCTCGAGCAGCTGAGCCAGATCGAGGCGAGGACAGCCGGGATCGGCCGATCCGGGAACCCGCCAGCGTCGAAGTCGGCGATAGAATCTATGCCGAGGATCGAGATCTCGGATTGCCACGCCAACAACGACGCTCACTGCGCCGTGTGCACGGAGGCATTTGAGCCGGGCACGGAGGCGCGTGAGATGCCCTGCAAGCACATTTTCCACGGGGACTGTATAGTGCCATGGCTCTCGATTCGGAACTCTTGCCCCGTATGCCGGTTCGAGCTACCGTCGGATCCGAACCGGCGTAGCAACGACAACGACACGGAGGAGCACACTGTCGGAATGACGATCTGGAGGCTTCCTGGTGGCGGTTTCGCTGTGGGGAGATTCGACGCGGCGATGAGAGACGGAGAGAGAGTGTTGCCGGTGGTGCTGACAGAGATGGACGGCGGAGGGTTCGGGAACAGCGACGGACCGAGGCGGGTCTCATGGGTTAGGGCTAATGGGACTCCTGAGACCGACAGCTCCGGCGGCGGCGGCAGATTGAGGCGAGCGGTTCGCGGGATGGTCTCGTTCATGAGGAGGGTGAGGCCAAACCGGGGCTCTTCGGCTACTCCTTTGGATACGAACACGGAGAGTGAATCTAGGGTTTTGGATCGATCGAATTCCTTCATCGGAAGATATTTCCGGCGAAACAGAAGTAACAGAGAATCAGTTCTTCAGTGAGTATTAGAACCACCAAAACCGAATTCAAGAATTTGCTCAATTCCTTTTGTCTATCCATTCAACAGTGTAAATATAAATTCAGATGGAAGATTTAATTTTTCTCGTATAATTTGTATCAATTCTCAGTGTGTTACTTTGATTTTGGAAATCATCAGATGTGTAAGCTCATAGATGAAGCAATCCACCAATAATATCTCATCTTTTCTTGATTGGTCCCAGCCAAAGATGTGATCTTTTTTTAAGGCCTCTTTTGGACCAAAGTCTCAACTTTCCCGAGAAATTTGACCGTTTGGTTACCGAGAAAATCCGAGAAAGAGTGGATAACGATTTTAAAAAAATATCATATGAAATTTTGTTTGTTTGTACCTTTTCTCACGTTTTTTGAAATCTGTAACATAATTTGAACCTTAAAAACCATACGGAATGTTAGTATTATTACATATCCATCTGTTGTCTATAAACGACACATTGTCGTCATTGCCTGCATCATCGGTTGATTTTGATTATCTGAATTATTTTAATTTTGAATTTTATCGGAACGGCAAAAATTGAACAGATCATTCTTTTTTTTTTTTGTTTCCAGCAAAGAAAGGTACGTCTTGGTCCTATTAAATTAGATGATAGCAATTCTAAGTTGTAACCAATGATACATACATATATATATATATATATATATATATATCCATGCATTTAATATTATTTTTATTATTGTTATCGTTATTATTGTGCCCAGTTGGATGGACTTCATAAACGATATCAATCATTTTGATCCTCTATATGGTTACAGAACATTGTACAGTCATTTATTTTTTTTGTAACAAAATTTATTTTTTTTATCTAATTTTCTGTAATATGATATCAAGTTTGATACTTGTCAAGATCTATTGTCTCGTAATTAGGGTGAACGTTTCGTTTTTTTTTAATAATAGAAACATATTGAATCGAAAAATACGATATTTTTTCAATTCGAATAGTTATTAATTTTAGAAAATCGAATTTTCTAAAATCGAATCGAAACTTAACCCATTTTTTTTAATAAAAACCAGAATCGAATCGAACCGAAACGGAATCAAATATAATAACCGATTGGTATCTATTTTTGTAAAATCGAAAGAACCGAACCAAACCATTCTCAACCTAAACCCAAATCAAATAACGAAAAGTCCATCCCTACTCGTAATCCTCGGCGTATCTCCCTACTTTTACCGTCGTTTTCCGGCGGGGAGAGAGAAAAGAACCTGATGGAAGGAATAGTTATTTTATGTATGATAGCACACTTGGATTCACATTATTCATCATCATGCCCATTTTTTTTACAAAAAAAAAATTCACACGAAGAAATGCACGCAAAACTTTGAGAATCATTTCATTTGCAGTGGACTCACCATGTGATCATACGCTTAGTTTACAAATAAAGGCAAACATAAAGATAGTGATGGCGACAACAGAAAAAGGCGTTTTTATTTAATTTCATCTGTTATTGATATCAGATTTCAGATACACACAAGTAGGGGTGGGTGTTTCGGAAAACGGTTCGAGTTCGGAACGGAATAAATCAGTTCGGTTCTTTCGGTTTTACAAAAATAGGTACCAATCGGATTTTTTATTGTATTCGGTTCAGTTCGGTTTCGGTATCGGTTCGGTTCCGGGTTTTGTTAAAAAAAAAGGTTAGATTTCCTTTAAAAATATTCGGTTTTTCGGGATTTTTGAAGTTCGATTCAGTTCCGGAAAAATTCGGTTCTCTAAAAATGGTAACGTTCGGGAAATAACAACGGTTTCGGGTCGGGAAAAATACCGTTTTAACGGTTCGGTTCGATCCGGTTCTGAAGAACCGAACCGAAACGCCCAGCCCTACACACAAGTATCTTCAGCTTCAAATACAAGGCATGAACTACTATAGATGTATGTGCATGTATACGTGTCTACGTATTCAAAAGGATCATACCGTACAACGTAACATATATTTGTGTTTAGCCTTTGAAAACGAAGATTACATAGGAAACGGAAAAGAGACAACGTGACATCAACCTGCATGTTCCATTTCTTTAAACAGACAATGATTATTTAGAGGCTACACACAAATGGATTTGGCAACAACAGACAACAGTGCAGACAACTCTGGAACTAAGTCTGGACAACAATTCAGTGAATCTTCAAGAAGAGTTCAGTGAAACAATAGAGAGAGGGGCTGAGAAGTAGGATCATTTACCTGTGTTCTCTCAAGAGATTTGCATCCTTTGAGGATCTCGAGCTTGGTCGAAAATGGCTTCTGCAGTACAGTAGCCATGTATTTGCCGATGCAGCATCATCAAGATTCCCATTTGAAAGGAACCCTTCCAGTTAGGAGACGATAGAAAACCCTAACTCTGTGAATCTTGATGATACTGTACCTGCAAGTACCAGCTGGTGACACTGAAATCCAAGATCCTTTTACCCTTTTCATCTTAACCACACCTCACTAAACCACGCAAGAAACCACCGGCCTACTTCAGCAGCAAGATCTCGCAGGAGCTGAGCAGAGCTCATAATTACCAGCTGAGCTCAAAGTTGGAAACTTTTCCATGTTTTTACCATCAAACAAACAAACAAACAGAGGGCAACACAAGAGTACTCATCCACTCCACAGAGGCGTACCTATTTCAGAGATTAGTTAAAGCACCATCAAGGCAATAAAGGGTTTAGGGTTTAGGGAACAACATCACACGTGGGGACAAGCTTGCAAGAGCGTCAAGGGACTGAGATGAAGAAGAAACTATAAGCATGTGCCTAAATATCTAAAAAGACAACAAGATCAGGAGGAGGAACCTAGCTTCAATTGACTTTGAACATGTTTTGATTACATAGAAATCACATGGATGTAGCCAAGCCTGCTTCTCTGTGCATGTCTCAGAAACAGAACCAGTGAGTTAAGATAACAACCATCAGAAAGACTGGCCAAAAGATATGGCCGCCTCACATGAAATATCTGAAGAACCCAAATGTTTTTACACGGAGATTCAACTTTTCCCTGTACCATGGGCATGAAAACACTAAAGAAACATTTGCAGGAGGAGATGGATAATGGTTACATAAGCAAAAAGACTGAACTGGAGATTTACATACACAAGCAAAGTAGGGGTATTAAGAAATAGATTAGAATGCCATGCCACTTTATTAAACTAATCATGATTAGAATTTTTCGTGTGGTATCTTACGTGTAAAGGCAAAACACATCAGAAAGCAGCCGCTTCAGCTTATGGATGATTTAATATATTTAACTTGGGGAATCATCAGTTAAGACTGCGTAATACGATATGAGGAAGTCAAAAGAGTAGGCCACATGTATCCAATTGCATGGATCAGAAAAAAGAAAGTGGATTAAAAACAAATCATGGTGTAGAAAAGCTGATTACACAACAACAAAAACTGATAGTAATGAAAGGATAAAAGAAATGGCACTGTATATCGCATAATCATCATTTGTCATCCCCAATTTCCCTCACAAGTTACATCTATGGCGAATTAAGGTGACATGAGCTATAGTTGAATGCAGAAACAATAGTTGTCTTTGGTTTTCATAAGGGGCTGGAATTTCGTAAGGAAAGAATGAGACTGTAAATCTATTGATTCTATGCCATATTCATGCTATTCCTCGGAATGAACTTCTAACTAAAGTTAAATTACAATTTCAACTCATGATACAAACCTTCAGTTGGAAGAGAAGGAAACCCAAGAACAGCATAAAGCAAATCTTTCTCGCAAGCTCCAACATTCCCATCAAATTGATATGCTAATATCTTGAATTGTACAGACAAGATTCTTCTAATACCAGATAACAAACAACAAGATTTCTCTTAAGGCACTAGTACATGAAAGGAATGAACTTGCACCTAACCTTATTAGCATAATCCAAATAGCTTTGTCCGAAAGCCTCCACCATCAATGCTTCCTCCAACTTTGCCTTCTTGTCGTAATAAACCAAACAAACAGCCACAATAAACAACAGACTAAAAGGTGCCCTTAGTGCGATGCAGTACGTTGCGAACAAAAGCATGGTAGATGCATATATTGGATGCCTAACACATCTATATGGACCAAACTGCACAACAGCTGTTGGAACCACAACTTTCTCGGAGTAATTGGCAAGATATAGCGACGAGTCATATTGTGTAAGCATAGCAATCACAATCAAGATCCATATACCCACATTGGTCCAACTTCCTGGTAAAAGGTGAAGCTCAGGCCGTTCGAAAGCTCCTAACCAGTGACCAGCCATTACACCAACACAGAACAAAAGGCGGGTCCATAAAGGTGTGTTCACATCCCACTTGGGGTCGTGAGGGCGGGCAAAGTGATCTCCATAGAGCCGTTTTCTCACGCTGATGTTGTAAAACAAGAAGTAATGGTAAGCGAGAAAGAACACAAAGGGCCAACCTTCAAGATAGCCATTGAAATGGGCAGGCGGCACAAGTGTAAGCCATGTGAAAGCTGAAGTTATAATGGCGAGCTGCTCAAACACATTGGCTTTTCCCAGAAGTTATAATGGCGAGCTGCTCAAACACATTGGCTTCTCCGAGCCAATGCTTTCGGAAACAGTATAACCCATAGACCGCAAGTGACACAGCGACAAACCAAGGCCAGAACAACCATGTCCAGCTGAAATACATCCACAAGAACGGGTTGAAGACCAAAGTCACAGTCTTTTTCGCAGCCACTGCCAAAACCGATACAACGGCAGATAATTTCAGGACATCAATGGGTTTCAACTGAGAAATATTCTCCACCAATGAATCAAAAGAGAGGGATTTGAAAGGCCTAAGCAACGGGTTGTCGGAATCGGAAGTTGTAGCATCGGACATGGAGCATTTGGGCGGAACCCATGAACCCTTTCTCGCTGAAACAAGAGCACAAATCCTTCTCGGTGAACTTGTTACCGCTTCAGGACCAGAGAGAAGCTGAGAGGTTCTGTAATCGGCACGGAAGGACCGGCACTTCACTTGTTTGTCAAAATGCCTGACCGAAACTTTTCGGTTCTCTCCATCCCAAAACCCCCGAGGAATAACCTTAGAGCACAGAAGCATCGAAGCAGCTTCCATGAGGATGAAAGACATAAAAACCGACAACGAACAATAATCAGAGACAATCTATCAGCGCCATATTAGCTTCAATTCGAGAGCAAAGTGGAAATTTTGTATTTTTCTGTTCACCTCCGTTTGCTGTTCTCTCTTCTAATTAAGAACGTAACCTCCATTTTGGGCTTAATGGGATTTTATATGTTGGGCTTAGTTATGGGACTTAAAAAATTGGGCCTATATCTTATGGGCCATAAGTATATAATAATTAATTTTGCTTTGGATCCACAACAGGGAAATTGCAAGAGAGAAATTTTGTGGGGCGACTCAGATCAAATTAGGGTGATCATTTCAGGGTTTCGGTTCAGCTTCGATTCGATTATATACGAGTTTGGTTATTTCGGTTATAGAAAAACTATAACCATTCGGTTTTTACATAAATTTTGGTTCGGTTCGTTTATTTTTTGGTTCAGTTCGGTTCGATTTCAATTAAAAAACTCATTTTTTTTAAGAAATCATCGGTTTTTTCGGTTATTTTTTTATTCGATTCGGTTTCGATTTTTTCGGATTTAAAAAATTATAACCGTTCAGTTTCGATGTCGAATCTAATTCGGTTCGGATATGCTTATATCGTATTCGATTTGGTTCGCATCGTTTATTCCATTAATAACCGAAATATCCACTAAACCTTTGGGGAATATTACCCAAATAACCCACTTGGGTCGCAGCAATTTCAGGATACACCACCCAAAAAAAAAAAAAATTTCAATTTTAACCCACTTTTCGGTTGAAAAAGTTCAAAATACCCTTTTCGTTTTATTTTTTGCGACTTTTTTGCGACTAACATATAACTAATATACAACTAAAATAAGACGGATGATTTTTTTTGCCACCTTTTTGTAACTATATTTAGAATTAATTACGAAGTCGTAATAACGAAGTTGTTTTCGAACAGATAAATATCGTGATTCATTAAAGATAATTTCGTCTTTTTTACGGAGAAAAAAATATGTTATGTTTTTTGTGGTGTATATGTGAAATAGATGCGAAACAAGTAGTTAATTTGAGTGAACCCAAAGCTTTGTCCCCATTTACCAGTCTGTAGAACTAGTTTTCGAGAGGGAGTTATCCACTCGAGAAGCTAAAATGGCGACGAGGGAGATTTCTAGAACTCTCAGAAACCCAAAGGTATGGAAAAAGAAAATGTAACGACTCTTCCATCGGTTTTTCGGTAGACCTAGTTCCTCTTGATGAACTGCGTTGCGTTCTTTAATTTCTTCTTCGCGAAGCTAATTAGATTCGCGGGGAAGTAATTTCGCGATTAGTCGGGTAGGTTCCTTTACGTTTCGCGGAATCGAGTTTGGAATTTGCTTTGCCTTTTTTTTTCTCCGTATTTTGGTGGAGGGAGATTGGTTTCCAGAGGACTTGAAACTCTCGGGAAGTCTGAATGGGATCTTGGATTTGTTTTTTGATTTGATCGAGGCTTTGCGCTGCTTTATTTCTTTGCAAACGAGTAGTGCGATTATGCATTTGGTCTGCTTTGGACTTCTGATTGATCTCTTCCATTTTTCTTCTTTCCTTTTTTTTCCTCTCCTTTTGCCTTGTTCGTCGCCTATGATGTAAATAAATACTTGGAGCAGTGTGTGTGGTCGTAATGGAAAGGGATCCTCAGTCAGGAGCACCGGTTGGGCGCATGTCGTTTCAGTCTTTCAATCCTTCTATTGACGTGAGGCACAAATTTTTTTTGTCATTGATAGAAGAAGCATTAAATGATCGAAGAGCAGGTTCTTCCACCACAAGTTCCAGCAGTAATGGAGGGCGAATGCCCTTTAGAATTAGGTGTGTTCCTTTTTGTTTCCTATTCCTTTTTTATTTCTGCAGATTTGTTTTCTGAGTATGCAATGTTCGCGAAATCATGTAATTGTGATTCGTGAGACAAATAACAACATATTGCGAGCGACATATTGCTTCTGATTTTAGTTCTCTTTACATTTCTGAACTGTCACCAGTCAAAATGCGTCCCCTCTCAATGAACTGGATTGTTCGAAGGCTGACCGACCCAATTCGCGAAATCAATGGTGGCTTGAAAAGAAAACAATCCGAGGTTGTGTCTGAACAGCAACACCCAAACTCGTCCCTGAGAAATCTTCGATGTTGTCAAGAGTCATCCCCCGGCAATAGGAAAGGTGCAGGTTTTAAGCAACTAAAAGGGAGCGTTCATAGTTAGCGCAGTTTGGTTCTTGTGTGCTGGTTGAGCATTTGTTTCAATCTGTATATCATCATTTAGTTGGTGTTGAAACCCATTTTTCATATTATATCCGGAGTTTTGAATTTTCTTGAAGGTGTCTGATTTACTCTCGCTGTATTGTTGTCTACTTTTACTCGGTTTGCACTCGTGATTCTCATTGAAGATGTTCTTGCTGGGAACAAGAGATGCATTCTAAATTCATCTACCGGAGCAAAATCCCGAAGATTCATTCTACAAAGAAACATGGGGAGGACCTAAACAGAGTAACCATGAGCTCATATGTTTTGATGTTACAGGAATATTTGTCACTTATCTTCAGGTTTCGAGCAGGAAAGAGCATTCCTTTCCAGCCCTGAAACATCCAATGGCATATCAATCACCAGTCTTTGTGGTAACCTGTTTTTCTGACAGCTCCACCTCCGAAGTATTCACAGGTTGCTTGATTCTCCCAACACTTTCAAGGTCATCATCATCAACATCATCCCGAGGACAGATACATTTTTATTATTCTCCATGCAGAATATGTGCTGAATCTGTTATTTCAGTCGAGTCAGTTAAAAACCAGAAGCCGGTTGATGCTAGCCACTTGTTGTGCTGAAGTTTCCGGCAAAATCATAGGATTAGTTGTTCGAGTTCTGATTGGAGGAACTCGGGTTTTGATGGGATGGTTAGATTGAACGTGAGAAGGATCTCTCTGCAGCTTAAAGGGCTACACTGTCCTGCAACATGCAAAACTGCCCTTCAAGATCTTCTTCCATCAACAGGTCTTGATGTACTTGAGAACAAGAGTCGTCTGAGCACGCTCTAGAATTAAAAGAATTGCTTCTGTTGGGTTTCTGGGTTTGCACTAGAGATCTGAATAGCCCTCGAATCTGAACACATCAACGGATACACGGAGAAGAGCATCCATAGCAGAAGAAAACCCTAAATTTTCACTAAAGAAGAAGAGAGCGAAGGAGAGAACTTTTTCTGCTGCAGAAGAATGCCCACGATCACTTTTTTGGTAAATCTTTTTGGCTGAATTCACGTGGACACAGGTTAGAGATGATAAATTGATCATGAGATCCTTCCTTTGTGCCTTGTTTCTTTTTTTTTTTCAGGGGAAAACGAAGCTTCGTGGAAGACGGATGGGTTGAGACTTAACTCAAACGAAGCCGCCACAAAGGGTTAGTAGTATATGTCGGAGACTTATCTTTAGTGCTTACTGCTTAGTAGTAGTAGTAGTATGCTGATGTCTGGTCATGTTGGTCAAAAGCCAAAGTCAGTACCTTTTATTGACAGTGCAGAACAGAAAAAAAAAAACAATCTTTTCAGTGAACCGACAATGATTTTAAGATAAAATAGTGATTAAAGGCGTTTTCTTGGGTTTTGTAAAAGATCCGAAACTAAAACACCGTCTTTTGGAAATTTTGTTGTCTTTTTTTATTACTTTGTTCACTTGAAGATTCATATTTTTTGTCCAAATTTTTGCAAAATTCAGCCATTTTAGAAACAGCTTTAACTTGGGACCGGCAAGCATTATTTATTTATTTAGTTTGCATTTTATGATTTATGGCTGGATGCTAATGGCATCCAGTACAGATAACATAGGAAAATGGTTTTAGTGCCCAAAAACACTAAACCATTATTTATTTATTTATTTTGGTTGAAGGGATGTTTACCAAACCATTTGTTCCTTGCGAACAATGTAATGATATTATAAAAACACCGTACATTGTACAGTCAAAGGTCAAACAAGACCCTATTAGTTCCTTTTAGTATTTTGCTACCTTATCTTATCTTATTTATCATATACGGAAATGTCGTATGGAAACACCCATTGTATTCTAATATAGATAATCTAAAATTATTTGTTCTGTGTTGAAATGTCTTGAATTCTTTCTTGCAGGTGCATTTTTCCCGTGATGTTTCAGGGAAAAGAAAGATGTACTTGCAGTTGCAGGGAAAAAGAGACGCATGACATCCATGGGAGGAAAACCCAGAAGAATGTGTGCAGGAATCATGTGAGGAAAAAAAAAAACAAAGCTGACAATTCATAAAACCCTCTTATCTCTAGTGATTACAGGATTGATTTTTGCTACTTCTCTGCTGGTTTCCAGCAAGAAAGAGCATAGAGTACTCTTCCTTTCCAGCCCTGAAACAGCCAGTGGCTATCGTCGTCGATCACAAAGTCTCTATGGTAACCTTTTCTCACCATCTCCTTAGCTTCCTTTGTAATCTCTTTGTTTAGTTTGATGGGCCTAAAGCCGGCTCTCGTTGTTCTAACCTGCCACTGCTTGTAAGTTTCAGGCCTGTCAACCCGCTCTACCCCTTCGGAGGCAATCACATTCACGGCATCCCTCACGAATAGCTCCTTCTCCAGCAATGTCCTGTGTTCATCCTCTGCTCTAGTTGTGGCCTCAAACATGTCGAAGAGGGATGAGAAATGGAAGAGCGCTTCTCGAAACCTCGTCACAAAGAAGGGAGAATTATACATCCCGTTAACCTCGGCGAAAACAAAGAGGTTAGGATTGATATCTCTGAATAGCTTTAGAACCATGTCTCTTGGAGGGTTCATGGACACGGTCTCGTCTGGGGTGTAACGGAGCCGGTACAGGCAATTGACAACAGTTGTCTCTTCCGGATGGATCTCCAGTTCTTCAAGACTGATGGTTTCCCACTTCTTCGCTATGAAGTTGTACTCGAATGGGACATTGAACCTATCACAGAATCTTTTCAGACGCCCACCCGTCTCCTCCACCCGCTCTGACGGGCGGAATCCGGGCTGTGGTAACTCGATTCCCGTAATCCGGAGTAGTGGTGGTCCACCTGGTCGGTTTGACAGGGCTTGTATCAGACAAGGCCATTGGAAGCCATAGAGAATCCCGAAATCGATTATGTGAAGCCTGGATGCTTTCGATGCAAGATCGAAGATTGCCTTGTTTGCAACGTAATAAGACATTTTGTTGACGGGACAAGCCTGAACGAACACCTTGTACGCGTTCAAGATATCCACCATTGATGTTCTGTCACATGGAAGCGGATAAAACACTGGTGGCGACTGGGTTCCCGCGATACGTGCCTGAAGCCCTTCCGCGAAGTGAAATGCCAATCTCTGAGTTCCATTGCCGTTCCTAGCAGAGTGGGATCTTATCTCTTTCAGTTTCTCAGTCGCTGTTCTGTGGTCAAAACTTGCCACAGCTTGCGCACACTGCATCAGTAGACTACGGATATCGACGGGTTCAGGGTTTCGTGTTCGGGAGCGGTTTGATGAGCCCTTTGCTCGTCCGGATCTGTTATGGTGACTCGGGTTTGATGCTTCTTGGTCGTGGCCTGTGCATATCAACAGTAAGTCCTCAAACTTTTCTGGCAGATCCGTGTCAAACCAGATCGCAGGTTGCTTCTTTGTTCGGCCACTTTCAAGGGTATCATCATCATCCCTTGGACGGTACCTTCTTTGTGATTCCCCGAACAGAGCACTTTCGGAATCTGTGTTTTCAGGCGACCCGGTAAAGTCTGAAGCCGGTCGATGTGAGCTGCTACCTGTTGTCGTGCTGAGGTTTCTGGTGAGATCTTCTGATTGGTCGTTGGAGTTCTGACCGGACAGTGAAGATTGATCGTGGAGGACTTCATAGAAGGATCTCTCGGCAGCTTGTAAGGCCAAACTGTCCTGCGACACGCAAGACCGCCCTTCGAGATCTTCTTCCATCAACATGTCGTTGATGTACTTGAGAACAGCAAAGTCATCCGAACACGCAGGCGAGTCACCAGACGGAGGGTTTTCGTGTTCGGGTCTGGGCAAAGACACGAAAGAGTTTCTTATGGAATCCTGAGGGTTTCTGGGTTTGCAGCGAGTCCCCGATCCGTTCTCGAATCTGAACCCATCGAACGATACTTCAAGAAGGGCATCCATGGCGGAAGAAAACCCTCAGAAATGTTGAAAGGGGAAAGAAGAAAAGAAGAAAGCTGAGTTACTTTGCCAGCAGCTGAAGAACGCAAGAGAAGGGTGACTGACTCCGGTTACTTTTCTGCCGTAATATTTTGCTAAAATGCATGTGAACAAAGGAGAGATGCTGATTTATAGCGAGATCTGATCTTGTCCTTTTGTTTGTATCCTTTTTTTTCAGGGAAAAATTGAAGTTTCGTGGAAGGAGGAGGCAGAATGGGGGAGAGGGGGAGAGAGAGAGAAGCCGCCATGGAAGGTGGGGATAATGAAAAAGGTTAGTACTAATTTATCTTTGAGACCTATCTCGTAGTATTATGGCTTAGTAGTTATGTTGAGTCATTATTGCCTGTGGCCAATTGGTCAAATCCCAAAGGAAATCCGTAGCCATTAATAATTTTACAAACAACATTAAAATTAAAGATATAAACCAGTATAAATTATCTAGAATTTACAGGTTCACAAGTGAGAAGCCTAAAAAGATTCGAAACTCCGATTTCGAGGTTAAAAAGGCCTAATACTCGATCAATTCATCTGGTTTATCTCATAATATGGATAAAGACCTTATTGCTTCTCAATCAACCATTTCAATAGATTAGTAATTTTCGTTAAACGACAAAACAAGATGGTTTTATTGGAAAGTTAATGTTTTTTTTTCTATATCTACTTACAAAATTTTTTCCTTCCACTCAAAATATCCAAGAATGGTTGGTTCAACTGGTAAATGGGTATGTGCAAAAAGTGTTCCATCTCAAATTCGAATCATATCCTACCCTTGTCAAATCATATATTATAAAAAAAAATATCTAATATTATTAGTAAGAGACGGTAGCTTTGTTTTGTTCCGTACATTTATATAACTTAGTAGTATATTAATTATGGTATCCAACTGCAATGGTTAAAAAAAAAAAGGGGGGGGGGGGCAATTTTCCTGGCCAAGGAACTGGAAAAAGGGTT